ACTTTGCTTTACCCGAAAAAGCGATGCATCATCTCACAAACAACAGATGGTTTATTCAGAGTTCTAGAGAAATGTTCTTGCTTTTACGATGCCAACTGCTTAGTGATACTAAAATAATTAACCAATATCACCAGAGTTTTAAATTATGTTACGGGACTCATTATAATTCAGATTTAAAGTTCACTTGCTTAGAGAGGGTCCCACAAGTTAACACGAAGCAGCACGTGTGCTCACCGCCCTGATGGTGGAGGCAGCAAGGACCTTTGAAACGTCGGTAGACTTCTATCAGATTGCGTGGCACTACAACGCAGAAGATAATTATCTTCAGAACTTGGCTTGGTAAACTGTTCAATTATTACTTAGTTTCAAATATTTATTTCGGATAACAGACTAGTCACGATCGCCTGTTTCAGCTGGCGCGAATGATTTCACCACGAAGAGATAATGCACGCTGCCTTCGATTTGAACAGAATTTCTTGACACATTCTCTGCTGGTTTCTAAACGGGTACAGGCAGACTGAATTCCAAAATAACTTATTTTGACAGGTAGAAAGTCGGTTACCGCAATGTGTCCCGTGAGGAAATTGTTGAGGGGAAAAAGTGATCGTAACTCATCCTAACCGGCGGAGATAGTACGGAGCGCGATGAAGTCGTACCACGGATATTCGAAACCCAATTACCGCAAGACACAACTCTGAGAGCCGCCATATTGACTGGACCCGTGTAATAATTGCACTCAGTACCTCGCTTGACTTCCAACAGACAGCGACATTTTGATATAATAACCTGATAATTAATCACAACGGTGTAGGTTTGGCATTCAACCTCCAGGTGACACCCTAGACATTGTCGCCCACGTAACAGCTTCCTTTGTCAATAAATGTCAGACAGACATGTACGTATTACACATTGGCGAAAATTTTCTGACCCGTTCACCTCCTTGGGTATCCTGTAACCCGGATAAAAGGATCGAAAACTCAAAGATATGTGACCTGCCGCGCCATATGCAGGCAACTCTCGGTTTACGAACTCTCAATTTACGAACATTCGCTATAACGAACGTTATAATTCATTCAGAATTTCTTAAATTCGCCAATAGATAGAGTTCCTTATAGAACGAAATGCCAAACGTATAGTGAACATAATTGTAAGATTTAAATAAATAAACCTTTAAAAAATGTATTTATTACAATAATTATCAGAAAATGATTATATGATAATTATACTGAAGTGTTCTTGTTAATAAAACTAATGTAGCCAGTAAGAAAACGTTTGTTTACATGCCACGTTACGTATACGATAAACCATAATATATTATAATAAAACGTATTGTATAGGCCAGAGGTTTCCAAAGTGTGGGGCGCGTTCCCCTGTGGGGGGCGAGTGGTTCTCTAGGGGGACGTGTTGTTTATATGAAAAACTTTTTTAACGAAATATGGAGAAACATTTCCAACATCCTTCGCTTGGTTGAGGCAGTCATCAAAACAAAGCATCGTTCTACGATGAACCTGGAAAACGACCTTAGAGCGGTCATTTCAAAACTCCAACCTCGGTACGATAAGTTATGTTCACAGAAGCAACCACATCCATCCCACTAATCCTGGTATGAAGCGTATATTTTATTACAGTTTTTTAAATGAAATGCATTGAATAATATATACTAAATTATAAAAAAAGTGTACTCATAGCTAAATTTTATGTCAAATCTGTTTGCTTGGAAGGGGCCGTGAAATTTATGAAATGTTTTAAGGGGGGCGCAAGGTATAAAAGTTTGGAAACTTCTGGTATAGACCATTCGATGTTTTTAATGCTTTAAAATGGCTGCTAACGTAACGATACGTATCATAAAAGCTCAGGAATAAAAGATACACATAACGAACGTCTTGGAACGGAACTGCAGTCTGCATTTGCCTCTTTATCTGGCGTATTTACTCCGCCCCTGTAACAAGTTTAAAAGGGACGCGAGTGTACGGTACTCCAGTCTTCCAGGAAGTCAATCAATTAGCAGCTTTCAGAACACACCCAGTCTTTGTGCTCATGATAGGAGGTGGTCGGGCAGCTAATTATATCACGGCTTGACATTTCATCTGAGCGAGAATAAGCAATTATAATAAACACGCAAATGACTGTAGAAACTGACCGACGTTTCAGAGGTTCTTACCTACAGAGCGATGATCGCCCTAATGATAAAGTTGTAAGCACCTCTGAAACGTCGGGTCAGTTTGTACGTGACTACACGGCGCGATATCCAGAAGACAGCCATATTCTTTCTTACCGCCGTGAGAATCAAATTCGTGTTTCTGAGTAGGGTTATCCCGCCACGAACTCAACCGCGGTCATGGAGGCCCTAGTCAGACCCTTCCGGTTACTGTCAGATTTCCATATGTTTATAAACTCTGATGTTACGCACTTGTTTCAATGCGGAACAGAGTAGGAGGCTCTAATTACAACAGCAAACTATGGAATAAACCCTGATGCAATCAGTAAGAACATATGTTTGAAGATGGGAGGGACTGCAAAGTTTCCTTTCTTGAAAATGGTGACACGCCAAAGCAAACGAAATAAGTTATTGCCCCGTCATTTTTTGTATGAAGCCACATCCAGGACCTACAGATGTCTGAGGACTTTGACCTTATGACAGGAAACTGTTATAGCCAACTGTTTATAAGTTTCTTCGACGGATACAAGAGCGTGTCCTTTGCTAAGAATGCCTCCGTTTGAAGTTCACAGGTCCGGTATCTTAATCGCATTTTAATGGCATACTACACTTTAATTTCAAAATACGGCACATCATTTTAAGTGGAACGTAACTAACTGTGGTAAAAGAATCAGTCAGATTATAAAAACAGACGCCAGTGAGCATTACGGTAAGCCCACATCTTCACAACCAATTTCCCAAAGATCTAATTCGAAACGATCTTTAAGTGGCCTTTTAAATATTAAAATATGCCCCCCCCCCATCAAAATTCTGCCAGCCCTGACAAAGCTTTAATCCTCGGACGTTTCGACCGAGCGGTAGGCACTCCTGTTTCGTATTCAGGAGGTCTTGGCTTCGAATCTCAGCCAGGAGATCGGCTATCCTAATAGGTTCTTCGTGGTTTTCCTGAGTCCTTCGAAGTAAATGCCGGGATACTACGTTAAATTAAATCACGACCGCCCCCTTCCACATCCTTTGCAATTAATTGTTAAAAATCATCCTATCATACAAATATGTTTGGCCTGAGCTGCTTAATAAACGACTAATAAATATCTCTGACCCCCCGGCACTCAACTGGCCTCCGAGTGAAGGCAGTTTCCTTCTTAATCCAAGTGGAATTCGCATTTCCGTTCAGGTTCCTTCAAGGGGTGGCAGTTTCTTTAACGAAGACAACTACAATTATTTTAGTCCGAATGGAGGAACCAGCGTCCCACGTTCAAGACCCGTTCTCAAGGGTCATGACTATGAAAGCATTAGCAGCCGACATGCTTCAGGTCATCAGCGAATCTGTGAAATTAAATTCACAGTGTGCAAGAACGAGCTAGTCGCATTTCGTTCCATCATACGAGCGAAAATCCTCCCTGATGATGGAGGCCTTAAGCACATCCGAATGTCGGCAGATTTCTGCCAGACTTTAAGACGCGGCATCCCAGAAGACAGCCAAAATTATACTCTGAAACCGTGAGAAATCGGATATGACTTGAGTCACTGTTGCTCTCGAAAGGTCAGGACTCTTAAGACGGTTCTCCGGATGAGGCTAAACGGTCTTAATACTGCGAATGACTGCCGAGGGGTCCAGACACCCCCCCCCCCCACACGTGCAGTGACACAAACAGTTTTCTTCTGATGGACAGTTCAAGGGCACGTGTAACACACGACGCAATTAAGTAGTGGTGGTTGGAGTGTTCGTTCCTTGGGAATGTGCATAAAATGAACGCATAATGGGGAAGGAGTCTCAGGCGTACACACCAAACATTTTGTGATGCACAGGTCGGCAGTGGGACGTGTTTTAAATTTCACAGCACGTCTCTCTGTAACGGGGGCTTTTTCTCTGTATATATTTGGTTTACATCAACGAAAAGAACCCTCCCTCGACATTCCAGGCTAACCATTTGCATATCCCGAAAACTGAATTTAAGTGTAAAATGTACAATGAAAATATAAAACAAAATAATGTCAGTCGAAAATATCGACACGAGGTCTTTTAAATGGAAGAAGTCGTTGCTTTATCGGTCTAATGGAATTGTAAACTCATTCCATTCATTTCGTCTGCACAGTAGCCCTAATGGCGTTTTCCTGTGAACCTGTCGTTGACCGGGACCCAAACGTAGGAGGAACTCCCACGAGCCTTGGTGAGGTGCGGGTGGACTCTTGGCATCTCTCCCGATCTCTTAGGGAACCCATTACCGTGTTCTCACGTTACGTGACAGAGCACGTTTTCCGTCTTTCAGAGAAACAGAAAAGACACCAGACATATACGTAGGAGGAACTCCCACGAGCCTTGGTGAGGTGCGGGTGGACTCTTGGCATCTCTCCCGATCTCTTAGGGAACCCATTACCGTGTTCTCACGTTACGTGACAGAGCACGTTTTCCGTCTTTCAGAGAAACAGAAAAGACACCAGACATATTTTTCTGCGGTTACACAATCTCAAAATCAATACCTTTCAGAGCAAGGGTTCTGAACTCGATGCCCGCGTGCGTCGTTTATAATACTATGCCACACTTTCCTGACAAGCAAATATTGAAAGATAACCCAGGCAGAAACAAATTTCAAGATTCTGTTTGTCGAATTTGTTAAAGAAAGTTACTACTGAGTGATGTGTGCGATGGTAGGCCTGATTTAGTAGTATTTTAATAAACTGTAATCAGAGCCGTACCTAGGGGTCTTAGGATTTCTACAAGAAAAAAGCAACATGAAACTTTAAATAGTAGATTATCGATGAGTAGAAGACGACGGGATTGATGCACATCTCCCTTGAAATAAGAAGGAAAGGTCATGTTCTGTCTTGGTATATTTGCTAGCGATGTTCATGGACTGGCGCAACCTAGTGTCGGGGTTTGGACGTCGGGAGACACCATGAGGGTAACAACAGCTGTGGATCCGATGGCGACAGACGCCGGTCTGCCCCTACGACAACACGACGATGTCGTCATGACAGACGAAGTCGAAGATGGTGAGGCCAATCGGCAACAACAGAACCCCGGCCATCTCGCCACCTTGACTAACGGACGCGCTGAGACGTACGACGACAGACTTGGTAAAGCAACTGTCAACGGGATCTCGAAACCCAGTAAGGCAGAGACGACGACGACTCCTGGTGGTGATCTCATAGTAGCTAATGGCAACAGCAACCACTCAACGCCCAAGAAACTACAAGCCAAGACTGATTCCGCTGCTAACCAATCACCCAGGTATTTGCCAATAGTTCGGTAAGCGACTTTCATTCACTGATGAAACTTCAGTTACATTTCAGACGCTCCACGTGTAATTCATCAGTGTACGATCACGACAAAGAACGTTCGTATTCAGTCAGTCCTGGGTTTAGAACAGGCGTTATTTAAGGACGTGGGAAGTCTTAATTTCCCTTCCAAAACACTTCTGAAGAGAGCATAACTCTCCTGTGACAAATGTCATGAGTTCTGTATGTACAAGGAGATGCAGAAGAGATTCTGAGGTGGTGTTTCTGATGTCAGCGTGAATGGCAGCTGTGCTGTGAGGACAAATGGAGATGCTCCATGCTGCAATGGGGTGCTGACAAATGGGGATGGGGGTAAGAGGCAGCTGGATGAAGATGAAGACCACGACCACCTGGCAGCTGACTGGGACCGCACGGTGACAGGTGTTAAGGAGCAGGCTTTCGCTCGTCTCCAGGAGGAACTCAATAAGGCACACCAGGAGCTGAGACTCAGGGATGAGGAGGTGAATCGACTCAGTCGCATTCGGGAGGAAGTGGAGGCAGAACTGGAGGAACTCACTGCCAGCCTGTTTCAGGTACATGCGTACTCTGCGCTGTAGCATTTTGGCCCTTATATAGTCAGGGTGTCTGCGATTGTTATTTTAAGTTGTGGTTTTCTCTAATTACTGTGCTCTTAGGAGGCACACAACATGGTCCGCGAGGCCAACGTGCGGCAAGCCACAGCAGAACGTGGCCTCAAAGAAAGTCAGATGCAGATAGAGGTGCTCACTGCAGAGGTGGCAGCTCTCAAGACACTGGTACTGACTTCAACTCCCAGCCGCCCCAATCCCCACCTGCACCCTCAGATTGACCTCAGAGGTAACAGACCCAAGGACGATTCCACACTCTCAGGTACAGTCACTTCTAATGGCATTTCAAAAGTGTTCAGGTCATGTAAATTAAATAAGCATCGAAGGATCTCACTGGAAAGTGACAAAATGGTACAGATCAGAGGGTTAATGAAATTGAAAGTCTAAAGCAAAGTTCTCATACACAAGCGAGAACGAAAGTGAAATAATGGATGTATCCAAATATTTTGCAGGAGTTGGCTTATTCACCAGAAAGCACAGGCGTTCACCGTCTCATTTCAACCTCAAGTATGGCCGAGAGAACTCCCCTCCAGAATCACCAGTCAAAGAGCAGAGACCTGTGCCTGAACCTCTTGATAACAAAGAAGGGTGCGAGGTGAGTGGAACCCCACCTATGTAAAGTCTCTATAATTTCTTAAGGCGATCTTATGGGATATGATGTTCTCATGGCAGCAGATACCATTTCAGAGAAAAATGCTGCAATCCAGGCCTAAAGATGGAAGAAGTTTGTTCTTCTAACATGTTGGTATCTGCCTACAAGTTCAAATTCCCTCACAATCCTGAAGACCACCACGAATGAGAGCAAGAGTTAAATTCTAATGAAAGCAAACCATTGTCACGTGACTAGGTCGACCCCAACGTGCACAAGGAATTTGTGGCGTGGAAACAAAGTCCTCACGTGGACAAGTCGGACGCGTTCATCGCGAGGGTATACGACGAGGACATCAACCTGTGCCTCGACTTCAACAACAAGGACCTGGGGGCCAGGGTACGGGATGCCGTCGAAAGAGGCAACATCTTCATAGAGGCTGTCAGCGACAAGACGAAGACCGTCTTCCCCAAGCAAGTATCATCCTCTTACTTAGGCCATGAATTATTTGACAATGCTATGTCAGCTGCAAAGGTTGTTTAGGCAATGTCATCAATCTCTTCAACCCTTGAGTGTGTTCAGAAGTTCATTTCATCATTTCCAGAAAATGTTGTAATTCTTGTAATAAAAAGTTATAGCCGTTCTTTACATGTACATACAAAATGAAGATGCGCTCATGGGGGACTTTTATATCTGATGACGCTTTAGATAAAAATTATCACAGGCCTTGACAAAAATGCATCAGTAAAACATGAATTTGGATTATACCAGTCAGCCAGGAGTGTCGCTTTATGTTGGACTTGGTAATGAACTTATACATTAGAATTACAGGGGGGAAGGTATTGAGAAACTCGATTAAGCCGCAAATATCTAATGAAGGAAATACTGAACTATTTTACGTTTTCACAGCGGAGAGTATGAAGATTTCTGTCTTCTGGGTTGCGCTGATGACGGAGGCAGTATGACGTCTGAAACGTTGGTTAATATCGACCAGACTACACAGCGCAACAACCCAGAAGACAGAAATCTTTATTTTAGATTGGTTTCTCTTGGTTCTTATTTATGTATGCCAAGAAACGTCAAAGTTGTTTTTTGTACGAATAAAAGAGCAATGATAATGGCGCTCTGCGAACAGGAAATGTGCCCTGCTGGAAGCACCACGCCAGTGTCACTACCGGATGAGGCTGGGGGACCAGGAACAGTGGCACTGCATCTCACAGATCTGCAGGAACAGGGTAAGGACTGTTCTCAGGTAGCTCCAGATCTCTTAAGTATTATGGAGTACCAGCATGCACTACTTTTAGGCCAATCACAGGTTTGCAACGATTTGCATGAAAATTAAACTCCGACATGCAAAGTGTCCTATGGCCACGTGTACTGAAAGCTAAATGGGGAAAAATAAAGTTCACAGAACTTTACCAACTACAGGACGATACTGAGAATGTAAACTCATAATGAAATGTGGACATATTAGGCAATGCCCCCCCCCCATGTAGTTAGAAGAGAGAAATTTGGTGGTGGAGGCTCCACAATATGTTAATACCATCGTTGGAATACTAGAAATGCACTATTTCTATATTTTGTAATAAAACTCTAAATGAAATCCTAGATTATATATAAAAAAATAGCAATTTAAATGCCTGAGCCACATAAGACAAGTAAACTATGTCTTAAGTCTCATAAAATTCACATTTCTCTTTACCGGTTTACAGATAATTGCAGTGTGCGACTTTCTCAACTACTTACGTTACATCGAGAGGGGCTTAGTCAAAAGCTCAGGTATGCGATTAATTAAGATTAATTAATTAATTATGTGTGTATATGTATGTACTAACAGTTCTATTCAAATTTTCAGTGCATGATGTATACTGGGAGGTGACTCGCCTCAGGAAAGAAATGGTATTGGCTCGGCTGGGACTCGCCCTCTCGCTGTAGGATAGGAACGGAGAAGTGAGTGATATAGTAAGTATGTACAAACCTTTCCAAATACATTATGCCCCTCTGCCAACATTTACACTTCCATCTAGAACATTCTGTCTCCAGTCTCATTCTTTCCTCCCCTCACCCTTTGTCAGTCTCTGTCTCAGCCCTAATCTACTTGTCTCGCGGTTTTCTTCTCCTCACCATACACTCTACTTGTTGCTATATCCTTCTTTATCTCAGCTACAGCTTTTCCTCTACTCTCTTACTGTCCTTCCTGCTCTCCTCTGGTCCCATTCCGTTATTCAAGTCATCTGCTGTCATATCCCTTCCTTATACTCTTTAATCCTTTGCTGCGTCCATCCCCATCCTCAACTTCTTACCTTGCTCGATCATAGGATGGACATCGTTTGGAGAGAGACAGAGCAGCAGAACGAGGACCTCGGAAACAGAATAGTGCAGATGGTATGGCATTCTGGGAAGAACGGAGTAAAAGGAACAGGACATCCAGAGATGAAAGTGGATAGTGCAGTGGAAGTGGGAAGGGAGGCGGATGAACGGAGCCAAGGAGACACCTGGGACATACAAGTACAGGCCAGAGACTGCAGTTAGGCTTCATGAAGAGGACACTAAGAGATGTAGGATGGATAGAAAATGACGGCAGGTTGGAGAAGCATAGAGCGATGGTGATGACAAGATTAGACTAATGCAATAAGGAAATTACACGTAGAGAAATTTTATGTTGATCCGGGGAAGGATAAAGGAAAAGAATAAAGAAAGGAACAAATCACAGGCATTGATGTAGAGATGAGGAGTGTGAAGACAATAATGGTGAAGGGTGAAAGGTAAATGTGAAAGAGGGTCAGGTTTTCCTGGAGGCAGAGGCAATTAAACAGTGGTCATACACTTTCTACCTGTTTCAGGATGCCATCCAAGGTGCAACTGGGCTGCTGGTGTCGGCAAAGGGATTCGATATACTGACCAAAGAGTTACGAATTATGTGATGTAATTATTATGATGTAACTTCCAAGACCTGTATGTGCACCTAGAAATGATGGACTTCCGTTGTACTTCAACATTTTACGGATGTCGTACAACTTGCATTTGTGTTACTGTTTTATTAATACATTGTTATATAAGTAGGCTTTGAGGTTCCTACAGCATTGATTATGAAGACGGCCATCTTCTGGGTTGTTGCATCATGTAGTATGGTTGAACTTTACGTGTTTCAGAGGTCCTTGCTGCCTTCATCATCTGGGTGATGTTGGAGGCAGCAAGGACTTCTAAAATGTGTTAATATTCTACCCGATTACTCGGTATTACAACAATTCTTATATAGATTAAAATGTGGAAGTAATGAAACTTGAGTCATCATTTCCAGGCCTCCCATTAGAAGCGTAGAAAAGAAAATTACAAACTTAAATGTTTTTCATATATTCTGATGTATCATAATCTATTCCTGTTATGACCGAAATATTTCCCTGTACAAAGTTATATGTAAATTTGTTGTTGAATAATATATTTACTGTTCCAGAATACCGAACACAAAACAGTGTTGCGAACCCAAATGTAGCGTACTGCTTTTAGTACCCCAACTATAATGTAGCTTTGTTTCAAACGCTGTTATATTTTGAAGTCTTCCAGTGGAAAAATAAATAATTTTAATTATTGTGAAAACTAGAAGCCTATACTGAGTGTTTAATGCCATTTACATTATATGCATGTAATCAGAAGAAACGGAAACAGATTTGCCATACGTGAGCCAGCAATGTCAATAGCTTCATTGACACGACTCGCAGATTTTACATATGTCAGTACAAGGCCATTCCTGTCAAGGAAATGGGATTTTTCAGCATAGAAAATGTTTTATTGGTAATTGTGTCATATGATATCAAAACTGATTAGTATCGAACGGTAGGAAACCTGTCTCAAAAAAGTTTGGAAAAATAACAGAAATTTCTAACCTAGTTTCACTTTATGGGGTAGTCTTGAATAACTACATGGCAACTGATTGTGAGAGGTCATACAGAAAAATGGAATACCATGGTATGATGGTTTTGTGCGGTAATTCTGTATTTACAAAAAATAAGAGGAAATGTTATTACTGAAAGTCAGGATATCACGACTGTATCCGAGTGGTGCCAAAATATTTATTGGATGACCTCACTGGCACGAGATAATCTTCTCGGGGACACAATGTCGCCTTTGGATACCCCTGAAATCTACTGAATTATGCTTGCATGATGTTCCTCTTTGAAACCACTTCAGAAATTTCTAGTGCTGGAGATGCAATTATGGTTCGGACTAGGGGTTTCTACTGTAATTGTAATTAGTTTCATTCAAAAATTAAATATACTGCATGCACCGACTTTCAGATGATTTTCCCTCTTTCTGTAAATACTTCAGGCCTACGTATGGACTACTCTGATCTACAGTCATGACACTAATAATATTATTGGATAGCTCTAACTTCTATTATCAGCCAAGAAGAAAAGAAATCGTGTATTCCTCATTCACATGTGATGATTTATAAATTCACTACAAAAACCACAGTGACCAACGGATCACATAAAAATTGTCAAAAGCGAGGAAATTAAAATCAATGACGTAATCAACAATAACAATCCAGAAGGCATACAGATTGCACAGAGGCAAATATAATCTTATTCTAACTTCAGTTCTAGACGGAGGTAAGTGGACAGCTTCATGCTCCGTCTTCCTTTATTCATAAAATAAACAGCCCTTGGTAAAAACTGACAGAGTGCCAGAGCCATTATGTACATTCTCTCTCACCGAGAATCTACTGCGGAAAATCAAAAACCAAATTTCTTAGGACGTACTGATGAAAAAAGATTGGTGGGAATCACCATTTCAAGACTTAGTACGTGTAAATACTGCGAACCTGTTACATGTTTACCAACTGCAAAAGAATAGTTTCTCTCACAGATTTAATGCATTTGATAAACCTCTTAATAAAAGTTAGAGCTTCCTTTATGTTAAGCATGGCCTAATATAGGAGGTACAAAGATATCAACAATCCGCATACCTTGAAAGAGATTACACTTGCAAACCTTCCGACAGTTAAGAGGCTGCCAGTACTGGTGCTACACTCTACAGCTGTCTACTAAAACACAATTAATAAAGGTTTCTACACAAATAACTCAAAATGTAACAAATGGGTAACTGTGTTGTGCCAAAATGTTTGCAGCAGAGAAATAAATAGTTTGTAAATAACACGGACACAGAAAGACAGTAGTAAAAAGTACAAGATCACGTCTGTATTTACAAATAATGTATTTTTACTGTATAACCATGATTTGTTAATGGGGTAAAAATTCTCACTCGTCAGCTAACCACAGTTAAATCCAGTTATTCCCGTAAGTTAGCAAGCCGCTGCTTCAAGTACCTTGTTTTAAGATACTGAGCTATGGAAATATTCTACGAATGAAAATAATCCTGTCCGCAGACATCAGATACCGAAAACAAAATTATGTTCCAGATGAAAAGAATAACGCAGCATTACTCAAAATGTTAAATTCTGAAGGTCTCCAGAAAAGTATGAGATTTCTCCTTTCACGTGAAATTAATTATGTGCATTTAGCATAAGAAAAGAGAGAGAGACAAATATATATTTAAATTAAATTAAAAAGTGCATTTCATTCTGCTCCAGATATCAATGAACTTAAAACAGGGTCAGAGTGTATAAGGACATGGATGTTATAAAATACGTGCATTGTAACCACTGTAAAATAATACCAGATCTCTAAGAGGAAATTCAATAAAGATATTACTATAAACCAAGATGTACATACTCACCTTACACCATTACTGATCTTTGTCTTTACAGCTTCAAAATAAAACATTTCCAGTGTACACATGATCACTGCTCCCAACATGAAGTAAATTTAGAGCATAATTTTGAATGAACAGGACAAAATTTAATTAAAATAATTATTTGCCCTAAATGAGTCCTTATACCGTTCGAAACAAGCGGTAATACAACTAACTGATCTTGGTCTTTATTATTTTTGGATAGAAACTATATATATTTTAAATGAATAAGCACATACTGAATTCTTCCAGTATCTTATTATTATTTCATCTAGCAAGATATGCTAGTCAAGGCAAAAAACAATAAAAGACCAAACTTGTACACTGGAGCGAGTGTTAATTCAAGTCTTTAATTATGGTTCTACATACCTTCTAAACCGTTACAGGCAAACCCCTCAGGTTATTGAAGTACTGCTGATGAGATTCCAAATATGATCACACACCACAAACTACAGTAACAAACACGTCATCTGGAAAAGTGGTTTAAGGAATATTGAGAGATTATATATAGTAAAAGGGCTGATAGCTCGTCTAAGCGTAAGTGACAGAATGTTCAGGACTTGTACTTCAATTCTGCCAACAAAAATAAGACGAGGGCAACTACATTAAGCAGTATTTCAACACGTGCGCATTTAAAAGTTTGTATCAAAATAAAGCTGTAAGTAGATGAAACAAGTTCTGAGAAGAACTTGCAATGTGCATTCCTTTAAATGTTTCTACGCAAAATGAGGCTGACGTAAATACAAATAATACAGTGTATTTACATTTGATAAACTGGAAAACAACTGTCACTTCCTGGCAGGAACTACATGACTCGTAATAATACCAGTTCTCATTTTTTATAAGACGCGCCAAAAATGTCTCTGTGACAGTTGCGTTCCACTTTATCAATGAATGCACTGTGTAATTTCATCTCTACAAGGAAGATAATTACATAAGTTTCGTACATTGTACTCTGCGCCAAACATTCTGATGGGCAAGGCATGTAGCACAAATGCAGATGAGAAATTTGTCTAAAGAGCTGAAGGGAAGAGATTTTTGGTGATCCTGTTGTCGATGAGATGGCAGTATCAAAATGGATTTTCATGAACTGGGGTATGGGCTGGATTTACTTTGTTCAGAATAGGATCCAGTGGCAGGCTCTTGTGGACAAGGTCATCAGAGCCTTCAGGTTCCATGTCTGTCTGTCTCTCTTCTGTACCAATACCTCACTCTATATTATGTGGCAAACGATGGCTTTACACCAAAAAGACTATAAAATGTGTGACTGACCCAAAATCCTAACTGAAATGACATTCAACAACTGAAGAACTATAGACGGAATAGAACTAGTCTTATAAAATCAGAAGATGAAATCCTCATAATAATAAACTCGACACAAAGTTTAAATTACAGACCTTTAAACTGGATAAAATATTCAGTACATACTTTAGAACTATTCTAATACGCCTTTTCAACCTCTCAGGTAGCCTAATTCCTATTTACCACCTTTGGAGTGTGAGTGCGCATGCACACGCAAGCACACGTGTTGGGAAATAGTAAGAGTACAATTATAATTGTACTATTTGTCACTGATCTTCAATCTATGACTTCATATTGAAAATTATAAGTGCAAGATAATCACAAGCACTGATACGGCGCCGGTACGAGTAGAGAGAAACGTAATCTTTTCTACCCTCTACTGTTTAACACACACTACTCCTACTATTGCCACCACCAAATAATTAAAGGGATGAAATCCCAACAGCAAGTGGTCAGTGCTGAAAGCAACTCTTAGAAATGTCTGATCAAATGGAAACGTTAATACTTATGGGAAAGATCTTTAAATTAAAAATCGCGGCAGTACGTTATGGTAGTTTTATCTTGCCTCTATATTAATACTCTTACTTTATCATAAATTTTATTTACATTTTTTTTATTTTTTGCATTTATTTCTTTTTCCAGTCAACTATTATTTCAGCGCATCTGTGTGTGTCTCTTGAAGAAACATACTGGCATCTTCTCCTATAGTAACAAGTTCTGATGAACAATTTTCGCATGTTCCGTTCTGACCACTTGAACTAATCACACTGGGCCATGGATAATATCAACACCTTCCAACAACCTGATGATACCAGACAAACGTGTCGTGAATACTGCACCTTACATACGCTCCACCGGTTTCAAGCCGAGGATATGGAAGCTGCACTCAAGGATCATAGCAACAGCTTCGCAGAGGAGCAACCGACCCATGTGCACTTTCTTGATCTCTCCTGAAACACAATATGGAGGTGAGTGGTCAGCTTCACACCCCAGGCACTTTACCCCTAGGAAAGTTTACTGCACACTTGACAAAAGAAAAAGTGTAATCATATCACCTGTTGCGTCCTTCTCAATACAGTAGCAGTTGTCGTAGAACTCTGTGAAGGCAGTGGCGATCTCGTACACGTACTCGCACAAATGGTGCAGGCACAGGTCCTTGGTTATCACTGCAAGGACATCGTAGAATCGAAGCACGACCTGACAACACAAAACCGTAACATTCTGATTCAGAATAAAAATAAAACAACACACAGAATCGTCAAACTGGGCAGGTATCTATACAGCATTTATTATCCTGTATGGCAATCAAAGATTAAAAGACATACTGACTTTTACCAAATATACAGCATTTATTATCCTGTATGGCAAACAAAGATTAAAACACATACTGACTTTTACCAAACGAACACTGATCATGAAACATTCTGCGCTGACTTCCAAAATTAGTTATAAAAGCTTACGGAATGACCTCATGCAAGCAGGGACATCTTGCTCTTGAAGATTTTTGGCATTATGCTACAACCCTGCAGTAAAAAGTCGAGAAACGTGCTCTCAGGGGATCACAGTGACTATTTCTCTGGACCTCACCTTACAACCCAATGTTAAGAGAACTATTCAACCAGATAGTCTCTAACTGCACAGCTGTTTTGCCTGTGGTTACAAAGTTATGGCATATTCTGTATTTTAGACCTGTGCTGGACGTTCAAACACAAAATGGAATCATAGATCAAAATATTCCAGACTGTTCTTCTTTACTGTAAAGGTCATACAACTGTAAACAGTGATCAGTTAAGTACGTGGAAGCAAGTTACCACAGCCTATTTGAGAATACTATTTTTGAATTCAGATGGAGACTATGGAAACCAAAGGAAAACCTCAAAACAGTAGAGATTCAAACTGCATATTTCCTGAATATAAGTGTAGAGAATTATTGCTACCCTGGTTACACTCACCTTACCGAGCTTCCATTCTTTATCATGGTCAAGCGAGATAGGTGTATTAGCAGCTGCTGCACTTAGTTGTTCAGGTGTTACCCCAGCAAGACGAGCAATGGAACGGATGCGAGTGAAGGCATACAGGAGGTACACGGCTGTGTTGCCCTTGTCTTCCAGCATCTTGTCAAATGAGAACACGTACTCGTGCACACGGTTATGCGACAGGTCAGCATATTTAATGCATCCATATGCGACAGATTCCTGGGCGGCCTTCAACTCTTCTGGTGTCAGAACCTTGTCTCTTTCCTTTTCTTTCAGTTTCTCCAATGCTCGTTTCAAGCCTAGAATTAAAGAAAAAGCATTATGAAATTATTGGCACACTTCAGTGAATAAATGACTTTTGAGGGCCCAGTATGATATGACACCACTGAAAACTATGGACATACACATTTGTGTTTGCTTGTGTTTTTCTATTAATCTCTGTATGAGATTTCAGGTTCTCATGACAGATACCAACATTTCATAGGAACATACTGCATACACCTTCAGGGCTGAAGATGGGAGCATTATGTTCCTCCAAAATACTGGTACCTACCTACAAGTCCATACAATGTTTCCACCCAGAAGACCATCATCAATAAACATTTAACGCACACTTTGCGAATCAAGTGTAACCGAAATTCCACGATAGACATATTTTGTTTGGCCAAAATAATTATTTGAATACAGCATATCGCTAACGTATCAATGCCGCAAGGTTTACTGGGAGCCAAGTGATAAACAATTAAACAGAAATTGTAGGAACTAGGTTGTACTTGTTGCAGATAATGTCAATCCAATTAAAAATAAGCAAAACACGAGAACTGTAATTTGTAGCAGGGAACCATTTAACAAGCACAACTGGCATATTAATATTCAACACAGACAAACTAAATGATACACTTTCAGCTCTATTGAACCCCTTTCCAAAGAAGCAAAATATGCCTTAATTCATGACTTGTAAGTTACTTAATGATGCACTTTTATTTGCAGAGATTGCATAATGTCAAATGACATGAGAAGGATGATCATAATTGTGAATACAAAGGATTCTGATGGAGATGGTCACCAACTAATTTAAAGGTGCCATCCCAACATTTGTACGCAGAAAATGATGAAAAGAAACCTCAGTCAAGACAGTTGGTATGCTGGCTAAGTTACAAACTGCGCACCTCCCAAACACAAGCGTGGAGCTAAATTTTCTTGATAACCAAGGAAAGGAAATTTACATATTTTTTTCTGGTCACAACTACTATTTCAGTCGTGGTCTGTTATTAAGCCCATATCACTGCAAGGTGTCAGCTAAATACATTTAAAATCAATTTTAAAACTGTAGCAGGCTACTCTCAGACAACAAACACAATTTTACATGGCCCTGACCTAACTTACAGATGAAGGAAGCAGTACATCCAGAATTACAACTCTCAACACTCTGCCTGTACCAAGAAAAGTAATGTTCACAATTTGCATTCTGCTGCTACAGAAGGAAAGACGATTTTCTAATAGCATATCTCTGTTATATAACGTCCATGATTATGAATAATTTTAGTTAGATATGTAAAATTATGTATGTGAATTGTCAACAAATTTGTATAAAACACTGTTTATGATGAAAATATACTAACAAGATCATGCAATCTTATAAAGATAAATAAAGTTCTCCTTCTGGAAACAAAATCAGTAAGCAAGGTATTAGGGCATGCCTGACACAGACTTTCTGTTCTTTCTTCTTACGTAATAAAAGTAAAAAAATCTGAAGTGAAAAAAATTCATTTTCTTTCTCCCCACATTCCCTAATGTACACATTAGCTGACAACACTAAACAACCAACATGTGACATGAATTTGGCTGAATGTGAAAGCCAAAGAGGGGTAACTAATTGGTTAATACCTAAATGACTGGTTACTGTGGGGAACTGTATGACAAACACAGGTGCCATATACAAATGAAGGCATGAAATATGAACAGCAGCTAAAAACTGGAACATGCAAGAACTCTAATAAAAACATACAGACAAGAAGATATATAACAAAAACTTACTATTGACTAAAAACTGTACACATGTATTCCACAAGCAATGCAAATTTAATCAACAATTATAAAATGCAAAAATTTCACTGCTATGAGAAGCACTATGACAAGTTTCACCGGTCAGTCTCTACGCAGCCATGGATCCCCGTACATCTGAGGTTTACATGTATACACAGTTGAAAATTTCAAGGGTGTTGGGTATATGGCCTTATACTGAGCAAACCATGCTCTGGAAGAAAATTCTTTCCAAAACTGTGTTTTACTCAATGTTGGGTATTAAATTCTGTACTCTGCTTGCAGTCTCCTACCATATCTTTCTCAAATGGGGTCATCTGCCAGATCCATATGAGACTATTGTAGTACTGACAGCACATTTCAACACAATCTTTGGCATGCTGTACATACCTATCAGGATAAGCAAGTTTTTACTTCTTCTTAAGACAATGGACGATCATTTTATCATACCAACAGATTCAACACAACAGCATTTATTTGAGGAAACCATGAGATCAGCTTCTTTTGTCACCAAGATGTTCCTTGGGTCAGCTCTATCGACTGGAGTTTCTTATGCTGTTATTCCTTTCACCGCCTACACAAATGGAACCATGAATCATCCTCTGCCATTTCATGCAGCACTTCCATTTGACATAACACAAACTTCAAGCTATTGGATGGCATATTTTCTACTGGAGATCAGTATGTTTACATTGTGTATAAACGGTTCAGTTAACTGCGACTTCTTTGTGTCAATGATAATAAAGACAACGTGTCAATTCCGTTTTCTACAACGTATGATCGCCGACATTAAAGAAGAAGCAATCAAGAGAAACAAACAGAAACAGCAGGACAAAAGTAAGAAAGCCAGCCACACCGATGGGACACAATCAGAAATTTCAATACTTAGTCTTACGGACACAAATAAAGATGACAAACTGACAACAAAGGAAGATGATAAAACCCATGGGGAAGAACTAGACTGTGAATTCCTCCAAAGACTGTCAGAATGTGTCAAGTACCACCAACTACTGCTGCAGTAAGTTTATAAGTAATACGTTGTGTAATAACAGAGTAAGTCCAAGGAATGTGAAAACAAAAACATAAGAAAACAGGGCACACTAAAAGTATAAAATAACATGGGTGTCAGGGAATAGGACGTTCAATGCATTTTAATAAAGCTATTATAAAAGACTGCTGTACTTCAAATCCACTGTCACAGTAACTGAAGTGAAAAGCTTCAGATAGAAATTGTACCTTTGTACAATCAACTGTCTCACTACAACCACTTAAAATTATGAGACCGAGCTCTACAGTTCCACCAATACCTATAATATACAGCTACGTGCAACAATGTATATTCTTTTTTGTTTCAGGTTTGTTCATGATCTGAAAACTGCAGCCAGCCCATTCATGTTATTTCAAGTATTGATTTACGTTATATTTCTGTGTATGAATGTACTTGGCATGTCAACGGTAAGTAAGCTGAAGTGAAGTAACTGCCCACAAGAACAAAGACATCTGATAAGTTTATATTATGACTTTAATTTTGATCTATGCATACAAAACAAAACTATAATTTTATCTCTTTTCCTATATGGGAATGAAACAGTCTCACAACCAATGAGAAAAAAGTTGACTGTCATTGAGAACAGTGCATTAAGGAGAATATTTGAACTTCAGGGTAAGAAAATACCAGGGGATTGGGGGGAAAGAGAGAGAGAGAAAAAAAGCATGAGGAACTTCATAATTTGTACTTTCCACCACATTTGCATATGGTGATGAAATCATGAAGGATGTGATGGGTCAGGGATGCAGCATACATGGGAGAAAAATGCACAGTGTTTTAGTTTAAAAAAGTGAAGGCGGCCATTTGGAATATCTAGGCATAAATGAGTGGACAACATCACAAGATTTTAAAGGTATACTCTCTGGAGTACACAGACATTCCAAAGGTGTTCCTGCATTAATATGATCTCGGGTGATTGTTGAGAAACTTAAAAATGCATTTTCAAGAAATTGGGTACAATGATGCAGACTGGATTCATATGGCACAGAGGCAGGCTCTTGTGAATGTAGTAATAAACATTCTGGTTCCATAAAAGACTAGGAATGTCTTGAACAGGCAAGAAACTATTAGTTTCTCGAGAAGGACTCTGTTCTTTAAAGAAATTTTATTAATTACTAGAGTTGATTAATAGGTACTTATAATGAATTCATCAACTCTAGTAAGAACATTGTATTCTTTCCTACTTAAAAAAAATTACAGAAACTTGAACACTTAAGTGATGTCTCAAACTAAGACTGTCCTGACTTTATATTCAGTAAATTGTAATTCTGATTTCTTCCACGTAGGTCCCAGTACTCAGCAGTGAGTTTGCCAACACACTGATCTTTGTCATTTGCGTCCTATCACTGCTGTTACTTTTATGTTGGTATGGGAATGAGCTCACAATTCAGGTATGCCATTTCTTACTCTATAGAACATCCTAGAGCATATGTGCCATAACATCATATGTAACGTAGTATGAGCATGAATTCAATTGGGAGGTTGTTTAGTAGGTTCATTTACAATTATGTACTGACGGTTAAGAGCAATGTATGGTAATTGTGAACAAAGTGAGAAAAACATGAGGAAACTTCCTGCAGTTCATTCATAAATAAAATAAAATAATAAAAATGTATTTCTGAAACTTAACTACATACATGCAAGATTCAAATACCAATCTGTCCAGAAATACCTGCTCTAGCATAAAATACTGCTTCCTGGTGTAGTAAGCACAAAAATAATATTTCAGTGGCATTAAAAATTCAAAGTTCTCTATGTATCTGGCTACAACATTGTGAAACACACACTTATTGCAGGTTTCTCATACACGCTAATCAAAGAAATTGAAAGCCAGCAGCATCAAAACGTTAATTAACAGTTGCGGACAGTTGGGGGTGATTATGTAGTAATAGTCCCTGCCATCAAAGTGTTACAGTTGACTGATATGTCTGTCAATAACAGTTCACAATTTTCACATTACAGAGTCTGGAAGTGGCGCAAGCTGCCTATGAATGTGACTGGTGTGATGGTTCCTCAAGCGCCAAGAGGTCACTTGTCATGATTATGTCAAGGGCTCAGAAACCTGTTAAGCTCACTGCATGGAAATTCTTTGATGTTGATCTTAAAATGTTCACTGCGGTAAATGGTCTCACTTAAATATTTTATTTTTAATGAGACAACTGGTACTCACTAAAATAGGCTTATGTGGGTTGTTTTTGAGAGAATTTTGATTCTATGATATAAGTTTGAGATATAATATTGATGATATCCAGTTGTACAACTCAAACATTTGCCTGCAATTTTTTTAAAAAACAAACAAACAAACAACAACTTAAATTTAAATAATACCAAATATGAGTTCACATCTAGAATTTGTCACGAAGGATAAAATCTCTTCCTCCTTACTCATATAAATACGGAAATGGTGTTAACTCCTCCACATTAATGTAAAGTCACAATTTTTAATACCTCATTTCACACACACACACATACAGACTCAGAATACATACCAATTTACGAATAAATGATAATAAAATTAGCGTACAGTGGAGACTGAATAAGAATAAACACTGGAACAATTTTATTGCAAATTTAGAAAGTATTTCCTGACACGTGGCCATACTGAAGCAGTTGCACTATTCTCCCTATGTGGAAAAGATAAGAAAACACTAGTATCTATAGTAATCCACAGTACACTCAGTTGTGCAATATTATTATTGTGATTGCGTGTGCTGAAACAAAAGCTAAGTAAATATACATGAACAGATTTTATGAAAAACTGAACATGTCTCTCTTTATAAAAATGAAAAATGATATACAATTTCAGTCACATTTACTTTTATGAAAATACAGCTTACATCTTTTCAGCATATCTTTCCAGGCTTCGCCCAAGCCTAAACTTTGACATCCCAGGATTCATATGAAAGACCTCTTTCACCCACATTGAGGGGGGCGGTAACCCAGGGCTAATTAACTCAAAGAGCAGAGTCATTCCTGACAAACTAACAGTCACTCAAGCTAATGAGCAAATTCAAGTTACATTGAAATGTGATCTATTTCCAGGTGCTGAGGGCAACCTATTCCTACTATCAAGTACTGCACGAAGTATACACTGAATAAGGAAGAAGAACAAACAATTAACAGAATGCCAATAAAGATTACAATCAAAACAAGTGTTAGTATCATTAATTGTACTTAAATGGCTCAAGAGATGGTCCTAGTGGTGGAACTACACCATTATGGTCTAAACTCAGTTTGCTGTCTGTTAGTAATAGGATTTGATATCACATAGTATTGGTAATGCCAACCACTTACATAACCTCATAACCTGTCAGCTCATGGGACAGTCAGTGCAGGAATGTATTTTATAGTGACAATGAAATCCCATTATAATATTTTGCTAGTCACCAAATACATTGAATTGTATATGTGGAAAGCACTACACAAAGCAAATGGGCACAGTAAAACAGAAGAGATGACAGTGTCACAAACATTTCAATGCTGAGTTCTGATGGTCTTCAAAGTCAGTACTACTTGAAAAAGCCTACAGCAAAATTAACAAGGTTTTCTTGAATATGTGAGCAATTTAATCATGAATCAATGATTCGCTGGTAATATATCTTCTTTCCTATTTACTGTGGGTTAGGACAAATCTTAAAGAACAAACTTTTTTAACTCTTTATGTGAAACTTCGCATAATTGGGGCAGCCGCTTAATTGGGCCATAGTGTTCTAGTCCCGATGTGTCCAAGTTAACCAGAATCCACTGTACTTATTCAGAAATGACAAATTAACATTGAGAAAAATTAAAGCAATAGACAAGATAAGAATCACAATTATTTGTTAAATATTCCTCCTTACTCATATAAATACGGAAATGGTGTTAACTCCTCCACATTAATGTAAAGTCACAATTTTTAATACCTCATTTCACACACACACACATACAGACTCAGAATACATACCAATTTACGAATAAATGATAATAAAATTAGCGTACAGTGGAGACTGAATAAGAATAAACACTGGAACAATTTTATTGCAAATTTAGAAAGTATTTCCTGACACGTGGCCATACTGAAGCAGTTGCACTATTCTCCCTATGTGGAAAAGATAAGAAAACACTAGTATCTATAGTAATCCACAGTACACTCAGTTGTGCAATATTATTATTGTGATTGCGTGTGCTGAAACAAAAGCTAAGTAAATATACATGAACAGATTTTATGAAAAACTGAACATGTCTCTCTTTATAAAAATGAAAAATGATATACAATTTCAGTCACATTTACTTTTATGAAAATACAGCTTACATCTTTTCAGCATATCTTTCCAGGCTTCGCCCAAGCCTAAACTTTGACATCCCAGGATTCATATGAAAGACCTCTTTCACCCACATTGAGGGGGGCGGTAACCCAGGGCTAATTAACTCAAAGAGCAGAGTCATTCCTGACAAACTAACAGTCACTCAAGCTAATGAGCAAATTCAAGTTACATTGAAATGTGATCTATTTCCAGGTGCTGAGGGCAACCTATTCCTACTATCAAGTACTGCACGAAGTATACACTGAATAAGGAAGAAGAACAAACAATTAACAGAATGCCAATAAAGATTACAATCAAAACAAGTGTTAGTATCATTAATTGTACTTAAATGGCTCAAGAGATGGTCCTAGTGGTGGAACTACACCATTATGGTCTAAACTCAGTTTGCTGTCTGTTAGTAATAGGATTTGATATCACATAGTATTGGTAATGCCAACCACTTACATAACCTCATAACCTGTCAGCTCATGGGACAGTCAGTGCAGGAATGTATTTTATAGTGACAATGAAATCCCATTATAATATTTTGCTAGTCACCAAATACATTGAATTGTATATGTGGAAAGCACTACACAAAGCAAATGGGCACAGTAAAACAGAAGAGATGACAGTGTCACAAACATTTCAATGCTGAGTTCTGATGGTCTTCAAAGTCAGTACTACTTGAAAAAGCCTACAGCAAAATTAACAAGGTTTTCTTGAATATGTGAGCAATTTAATCATGAATCAATGATTCGCTGGTAATATATCTTCTTTCCTATTTACTGTGGGTTAGGACAAATCTTAAAGAACAAACTTTTTTAACTCTTTATGTGAAACTTCGCATAATTGGGGCAGCCGCTTAATTGGGCCATAGTGTTCTAGTCCCGATGTGTCCAAGTTAACCAGAATCCACTGTACTTATTCAGAAATGACAAATTAACATTGAGAAAAATTAAAGCAATAGACAAGATAAGAATCACAATTATTTGTTAAATACTGAAGAGTAAAGAAAATAAATGGGTTTGTACTAACTAGTAACAAATTAAATGGTTTCGCAGGCGGATTACAAGTGGTCGCGGGCTGGATCTGGCCCACGGGCCACCAGTTGGACCACCACATTCTAGACCAATTCCAAATAATACTGTGGTCATTTCATTGTTTCACAACAGTCATTAGCCACAAGACAAACTGGGATGTGGCAACAGAAACAATTCCACACTTTAAATATTTGAAGGGAAATAATATACTTGTTATATCATAGGACCGGTGTTTTAGAAGGCAGGATGATTCAATATGTATTTCTCCCCTTTGTGAAATATAGATCAAAGATCTTTATATGAGATATTGTATCAAATAGCCAAATCTATTCTCTGTGTACCAACAAACTTGCATGCAGCATCATTAATTATTCACAGTTTTATGTAATGATATATCAAGAAGGAAAGAAACAGCACAAAGAGAATTCTATAACAGAACATGCACTAAATTTGACATTTATCAAACCAGACTTTGTTATGTGGGAATCAAAGTCAGCACAAGTAACAATATGAATCCAGATCAAAAATATCTGAGCCCATCATATACATCAGTTGCCACAGAGCCTTAGTGGCATAATACTCGCCACTGCACAAGCCCCCCATGCTTAATAAGCCACTATTTTATGATAATGCCCAAACTGGAGGAGCACCCCTTGTTAGCTGTCCATAACAGCTTATTTACAAATAAAGTATTTCACCATGAGAATGAAAAATACACAACCACAAAATACTAGAAGAAGTAGTTCAGTTAAGCCTGCTGCATATACTAATGAAAGCTGGTGATTTCTGTGTATGTTGGACAGCGTGTTTACATGCATGCATATGTGCGCTAACAATATAATCAGAAATTGTCATGCTTCTATATCTAATTACTGTATTTGTAGATAAAATATTATTATACCACAATGTACGTTGATTTAAAGTTTCATAAAAATTGTAAATATTTAACCCTCAAGTTATACCTTTTTACCTTTGGCAGTCATATGAAATAACTAACAGACAATCTACAGAGTTACTATATAAAAGAAGTAAAATACTAGACAGCTGATAGACTACACTACCTAATTAAAGAAATAAGAAAGTTTTGGTCATAGAACAAGAACAGTTATTAAATATCAATAAAGAACAGTTTGTCAAATTCTGGTCATACTATACACCATATAAAACAGTACTATTCTAAAAGCTTAAGGCTGTAATAATTTTACAGAATAAACTATAAATAATCCAGAAGAATGAATTCACAGTTCAAAAATATAAAATAAAACAAATCCTGTATCAAAGATCTGTCAGAATCCTGCAAAGCCTGAACACATGCGCTTGCTGTACTCAAAGATTCAACAAGATACTGGCAATCTATGAAGGGAAATGGAGTTAAAATTACATACACGAGGGAAAAAGTTTGTTGGACATGAACACCAAATAAAACCAAACATGAAGAAGTCAACCAGCAACATAAAGTCTGCAGAGAAAGTCAAAACTAAGGAATGGCAGTCAGCAAAGCCCAACAGCTTACATCTAAATTTGACGATACTCCAGTGGCTGGGTTTATGGCCCTGTGATGAGGACACCACGCACTTCAAGGCACTGTTCTTACGCATATTCTGCTGCTTAGTCATTACTATTCAAGCTTCAGTAAATATTGCAGAATGTATGGATATGGTTGTCAACTGGGGTCACCTTAATAACCCATCAGAAAATATGTACATAATGGGATGTAGCCTAATAGCAATAGTTAAAGAAGTAACTATTATTTTAAAGACAGAAAAAATTAAAGACCTTGTCAATATCCTTAACAATAAACTTGCTATACAAAGAAAACAAGGATCTTCAGAATACCAGAAGATCATAAAATCCTCTATAAAGCAAGCAAGGATGTTCACACTGATCTTCATTTCTATGTGTTCATTTGTAGGTACCAGTTACTCATTTGTACCAATCTTAGACACCCTCCTACTACAATATTCTGGTAACGAAACGTCCCACAGACCAATGCCTTATTCTGCTTGGTTTCCTTTCGATGTATCTGAAACACCAGCCTATGAAGCAGCTTATTTTTACCTAGCACTTGTAGCATTTTTTCATGGAGTTTACATTCCATGTTGCGATACACTATTTGTGACCCTTATAATCCACTTATGTGGTCAGTTCCAAATACTGCAGGCTTCATTAAAAAACATAAAAGTGGATGCCATGAAGAATGTTCAAGCAACATACAGAGAAAGGATCAGAAGAAACAGTCTGTCAACTAAAGCTCTTCACACTGCAACTTCGGAACCAGCAGAATGTGACATCAAAGATGAGAAACACAACGCCCGTATTGACATTTCTCTTACCGATGAAGATCTTGACAATGAAATGCAATACCTTCTTAAACAGAGCATCAAACATCACCAAATTCTGCTTCAGTAAGTTATATACAAACCTACACTGTCACTGTCATATTGTTACATAAACATCCTTGTTAGCAATCTAAACATGACAAGTAACTGTCAATCAAACTTAATCCCTCACCCTGGAGCAAAATAAAAACCTAATTTCTCTTTACATGCAAAATCAACCATTTTTGAGCCACACTTTCCCAAGTTTTTGAAACCGACGATGGTAACACTACACTAAGAAATGAGGGCAGAAGAGAACGACTTCCATTTCGCTGTTCATCAATTTGCATGTTACGGCAGTACCAGTGTCTCAAATGACTCCAGCAAGTTAATTGGTTATTTGCAACTAAGCTATTTACTAGCCAGTGAAGTTAAAAGTTCCCATGACTGAAAAAATTCCAGCAAATAACTTTTCCAGAAGCTGATTCCATACAGTTTTGCCATAATATTTGTTAGAACGCTGAACATCAATCAGCAGTAAAGGGTGCAGGTGGGCTGTGGTGCGACATCAGTCATTTCAGGTTCCACTATCAACCTAAGCAGATCATTCATATGTGCATACTGTCAGAAGAGAGATAAATTTTCTCCAATTATGTGACAACACTGCAATCTTAAACTAACATCATTCACAGTCAGCTGCTGTCAATCTGCCATACCGAGAGCAGCAGAAGCTACAAAAATACCACTCCCGTTACACTGTTTGTGGTTCACGTCAAAGAGCAGTGTGACCAAGTGGCAACAAGAAAACCATCTGAGAAAAGGTATAGGTAGGTGGGAGAAACAAATTGGTTTCTGCATCATGGCAAAAATACGTGGATCCTGTGCGGCATACCACGTACCTACCACAGCTATTAGCCCGTGAAAGTAAACCATGACACCAATAAGGGAATAACTAATACTTTAGATATCAAGCAACTAGCAATGATAGTGATTTCGGTATTAGTTATCCAGTCTGAAAAGCGGAATGCTTCCTGCATTTGATTCCTTACCCCTTTTGTAATAACATGTGTTTATTGACAAGATTTGTTTATTTTCAGATTTGTTCATGAACTTGAATATATATGCAGTCCTTTGATGGTGGTTCAGCTATTGGGAAGTCTGGTACTCATATGTTTTACTGGTTTCAACTTGGCAACAGTAAGTCAAGCCCTATATACCAGAACAGTAATAAAACTACTTTTTTGCTTGCACACACACAAACATCTCTGGAGGCTGGAGGAATCCCTAAAGACCAAGTTAGACTTTGATTTTTCGCTCTTTTATCACCACAGTGATAGGATGATATGCATGCATGTTTTCTTTCTTTAGTTTAATATTAAAGTCTGTACACTTCATCTCCGAGACAGAGAAACACGTTAAATAATGACTGAGAACCTCACACTTTCTGCTTCATATGTGGAAGTCCTAGGTTTGAAATTTGCCCTTTGCACTACATATCCTTCAAACTGAGGAATTCTCCAGTTCCTCCATGCATATTCTGAGGTACCTTAAAATAGGCGATGGAAATTTCCTTCCAGACCCTTCCTATTCATCATCACAGTCATCCTCCCACTGAATACTACTTAAGTTATGCTGCTATAAAAGCTTTAACAAACAAACAAATTACAAATATTAAAATGTCTGCATTACAGGTCCCAGTACAAAGCGTGAAGTTTGTATCAGCTCTAGTATTCATGATAGCAGTCATCATTCAGTTACTAGTTTTTTGCTGGTACAGTGAAGAACTATCAATTCAGGTACAGTAAAATTATGAAACAAATTTACTATTTTTAACTATACCAGCAGTCACAGAAGATCTATTAGAAGCTAGTTTGTATGTATGAGGGTTTAAAGGCATGTCAGCTTCCAGCAACTATTTACTAATAACAAGATAACATCTAGCGGCTTAATGAAAATGGGTATGCTCGATCAGGATGTAAATGTGCAATAAAATTATGACAACCAAAGGCAATGACATATACAGACACATATTAGATGTTAGTAAGGAAGCCTGTCTAGAAGTAAATGCACAGAAAACCAAGTACATGTTCCTGTCTATTGCAGAATTGCAAAGTATATCAGGCAGCCTATGACTGTGACTGGCATGAAACACCTAAAAGCTTCATGACTTCGATACAACTTATCATGAAACGAGCTCAAACAGCCAGGACACTGACAGCAGCCAATTTTTGCTCCATCGATCTTCAGACATTCACCACAGTATGTATGCTCATTCTCTCCAACCACTTTCACAATGAATATGCAAAAATACTTAAATTTTGAAATGTTACTTAACAGGGTCAAGACAACTAATACCAAAAATACATACTGAACACCAAGAGAGACAATCTTAAACCAAGGGATTTTATTGCACATAATTTAATCAGAAAGTGACAACATGTTTATATATTTGTAGTTTGTGTAACGACACTTTCAGTAACTCAGACAATGGCATCAAATGAGAGCATGATAGCGAATAATAAAATGGAAAAGATGTGGAAGGACAATTGGCAATGTAATCAGTTAGATGAGGGACTTAAACATTAAGAGCTTCAAACATTCATAGATATGAATACACACTAGAACAAGCATCAGTCCAAATTTTATACATTATTATTACATTGATATTGCAATGTATATTAATATAAATTATTTTCTCCATTATTTTCAGATCATTAGACTGTCCTATTCTAATTATGCATTCCTCCGACGAGTGTATGATGAAAACAGCACAAAATCTACCCAACCAGAATGAACATACAATTCCAATGTATCAATTACTGCACTCAGCAAAATACCTACGTTTTCCACATTCGCATTAACTCAGACAGAAGGAAACAAGTGCAACATATGTTCTACCATACACCATAGAATGCATTATCAGCAAAAAAACAACTTCAATGCACCTCTGAATGACCAAGCAGAATCAAATGATTTAATTTTGCTTTCTTCAATCTGGATAGCATGCAAAGTTTATGTGTTGCAAAGGATTAGTGAAAAGTAATAGCATGAATTAATCAGTTCCATTGATTAATAAATATAAACACACAAGTTCTGCAACAAACATTATCACATAAACTGAATTAGAGATGAGTAAACAATTATAACAGCTACTAGAAACTGTATCAGTCTCAAATAAATGTAATCTAACAATTTGACGAACAGATAAGAAAAAAATCCCCATTCCTACAAATTTATTCTGGGACAGATTTCTTTAGTCACCTAATCATTTTCAAAATCCACTCTTACAACACTTCCTTTCCAGTCACATGCCAGTAAAGAACTGTCAAACTTCAATATAATGAGAATGGACCAATTTCCAGCTAAAGATTACTCAAATACAATAATTTTTATCGTGCACAAATTGTATTGTCCTGCCATATCAAAGATCACTATATTTAGGTGAGGCTGCTCTGGGAACAGTACTCCTACCTTCGTCCAGCAGATCGGCAAGACGGACAGTCTCTCCTGATCTGGTCTTGAACTTCTTCTTGTCCTCACCCAGCACAACTCCAAAGCCAACATGATCTACACGAACGTGAGATGGGTTCAGAATACCAGCACGTTCTGCACAGCCCCACAGTACCTGGAAGTGTGTAGCCTACACAACAAAGGGACTGTTTTAGACTTTGGGTACATACAGTAATCACAGCGATACTGAGGATTTAAATGATGGTATTTTGGGTAGTGTTTCTTTGCAGGCTTTTTAGCAATACTGTCATTAGCTCAGAACTGAATGACAAAATGGAATTGATATGGAGGCAGCAGTCGTGGCCTAACAGAAGGTACTATAGTAGCATTTGCTTAGATGGACTGAGGAAAACAATGAACAAGTGCAATCAGGATAGCTCATCTGGACCTGGGACCTCCCAAGAGGGAGAGATTACCACTTGGCCATGATGTATGGTTTATTTTGGGCAGTAACACCTTGTTAAGAGGGGGGCAATTTTTGATATCTTCAATGTATATCACCTACAATGTTAATGCAGAAATGAATTTCTCTGAAAATTTATACAATGAAGTTCATGTTGAATGCAAACATCATGGAATTCGATGAGACATTCATTAAAAGGAATTACTCTTTCAATATGCCAGTTTCCTTCAGGGCCTGTGAAGATGTTAAATTGAAAAGTACACAGCACGGTTGCAGATTATGCAGTTTCTACACTAAACTTCGTAAACAGAACTTCCATATGCTAATTTCCTTTGTAAAATGTCACCCTGATGTTAATATAGAGTGGAATAATAACAGAAAAGAGAATACAACTAAAATTTCTATGCTTTGTGTTTTTCAACTTCGTATATTTGGCTGCACTAAGAACTTTTTACAATAATGAACAATTCACTACACTTAACCTTATTACAACTACTTTAAAGGTTATTTATTATTACTTAAGTGTTCAATGAACCAAGTATTATGAAGAATTAGGGTGATATTTATGAGAATGCAATGTAAAATATGATAGCTGTTTTCTGGGTTATTGCACCATGTAGACTAGTAAGAGTTTACCAACATTTCAGAGGTCCTTGCTGCCTCCATCATCACGGTGATCATCCTGATGGTGGAGGCAGCAAAGACCTCTGAAACATGCAACAACTTAGATGACAGTCATCTTCAGACTCACTGCCATGAAAACCTCAAATCCTACAAAGTAATATAAAGCTCAATGTTTTTCTTCTCACCTGCCCTGCATCAGTGACATAAATTAGCCAGTCACCCTTTTCCTCTTCAATACGTTGTTTTATAGTTGCCAAGTCCGAAGTGTCATATGTAAAACCGCCATCTGACTTCACAATTGTGAAAGGAATGCTATCTTTAGATAGTGCTCCCCACATCACTTTCCTCCCTCCATCTTCTTCTAGAAAACCTATTACCAATTATAATAAAGATATGTTAACCATAAGAATGCAGTAAAATTTTGCTACCTCGTGTATGTATTTTAGCAAAGGGAACAAAATACATACGCAGAAAAATATCTATGAACAGTTCTTTACCAAAGTGGACCTACACACACGTGTACAAAATATAAGAAAATTTCTACGGCAACATATTCAAGGATAAATAGCAGTGGTTTCAATGTTATACCACCACATGGAGATGGCTACATGTTATCTATTAAAAGATACTGCAAACCACAAACATGAAACTTGTATATAAAGATATTAAATTTCAAAAACAGACAACTCTTATACAAACCATTTGACTTAAGTTCTTCAACTAATCTTTCCATTCTCTTTTGGTAAAATGATTCCCCTCTCTCCACGAGAGTGACATCCAGACGGTCATATACTTTCTGGAATTCTGAAATATATAAAAGATCGTGAGAAGAATTTGAAATGCAGTCTGCTTCAAGCTGTTCTCATGTGTCTAAACTTATTAAGTACACAAAATTTAAACCAAAGAATTGACGACAGTCCAGGTTAACTATCTAACTCCCAACTGAATATAAAGTACATCAAAATTCTTGACAGTTAAGATGAAAGCTCACCTCTCCGGGACACATCACAGATTAATTGCCATGCTTTATTGTAATCAGGATCCATGTTTTGGAGTTTCACAACACAACTGTAAGCTCGCCGCTTAAACTCGGGGTCTTCATCAAACCGCTTTTTGGATTCCTTATAAAATGCCTGAAGGTCACCAATCGGCGGTGAGTGGGTTAAATAGTCCGGGAATATGTCATGCAGATGGGCAATCAGCATACCAAACTGCGTACCCCAGTCACCCACATGGTTGATGCGTAACACATCGTGCCCTAGGAATTCCAGTAATCGACAGATGCTTTCACCAATAATTGTTGACCTGCAAATTTTAAATTACAAAGTTCTCTAGAAATCAGACACTTGGCACTGGGAAGTTCAAACCCAACAGATAAAGCAACACCCAAACACACAGTATTTATTCAAGCATCAAACAAGCTAAAAGCTGAATGGTATAAACCCAAAGCGTACATGTTTATTATGTTTCTGTACTCATTCCTTGTTACAGTTATCCTCATTATAGTTCATACACAACATTATCTAAGACCAATTATATGAATATACCAGATGTTATTCCACTGAAACTATTCTACTCTGAAGTCTCGTGAAAACAAACGTGAACAAAAATTACTTTTCTGGGGCAATGTATACAGCACTCTGCCATTTGTCTCTTCAGGGCTGAAGACAGATAATGTTTCTCCAAAACGCTGGTTCTTGTACCTATCACTCTGCATGACATTGCAACCCAGAAGAACATCAAACCAACTGACTATTATGAAGATGTGAGTTTCAGTTTATGCATACCTCAGATGACCAACATGCATTTCCTTGGCAATATTTGGTGAGGAGAAATCCACGACCACCCTCAACTTCTTTTCCAATGGAGGAGGCCGCACTCCTGTTTGTAGCAGTGCTGTCAACACTTTACTTCCATGAGTCTTGCTTAATGTTACATTGATGAAGCCCGGACCTGCTACATCCATCCGCCCAATCCATGGGTTTTGCCCCACATGTTCTACTATCTTCTTGGCAACCTCATATGGAGCAATCTTGACACCTACATAGTGTAAAGATAGCTGACCAGTGCTTTAAAAAAAGAATAAAAACCAAAAAACCAAAGAAATGAAGAGAGAGGAAAACAAAGGATAAAAAACAAAGAGAAAAATAAAAAGAGACAAATATAAAAAGGGGGGAAAACAGAAGTAAAAACCACAAACGAGAAACAAAACAAAAAAGAGAAAATACAGAGAAGAACAAAAAAGATAAAAACCAACAACACACACAACTAGACAACTCAAAGTTTTGTATTTTCTGTAGTTTCACATTTTCCACAAGAAACAGAAATAGTACCTCGTGCCTTAAGAAGCTGTGACAACTGCAGTGCTGTATTACACTGGAAGTCACCAAATTTTGGAGATGGAACAACAGGTATACCAACATCTGGCACATCAGGAAACGCTGCTTCAACTGCCTCTGTAAATGTTTGTACCAGCTCTTCCTGAATACACTGCATACTACTTCTTCCACTATACCGGGTTTTAGATTCCTGTACCTCACAAGCCTGTAAAATTATTTGTTTACATTACTAATTACAGCAAAAGTAATGATTGCAACATCAGGCAATAAAATCAACAAATCATATAATGCATTTAAGTATCCACTGTTCATGCGATTCATCAACCATATGGAGATGAGGACATGTGGCATCGACAAGACAGGGCGCTTCCACATTACCATCATGATGTTAGGGCCTATCTTAACAACACCTTCCCCACCTGATCGCTATGATGCAGAGGAAATGATTGACAAATTTAACCCCACTTGACTTTTTCTTGTAGGGTTACATGAAGATCTTTGGCAAGAAACTGAGTGGTCTTGCACAGCCATCCCAGCAGCAACTTTGATGGCAGCTTGTCAGTCAATTGCTCGTAGCTGTCAATTGTGTCACAAAGTAAACAGTGGTCATTTTGAACACCTACACTAGATTTGCTAAGTCCCAAAGTGCCAATGCTACCGTATGTAATGGTTCAGTTTATTAAAATGTCTTTATTTCATTCAATGAATGTGTATATATATCTTTTTGGGACATATGTATTAATCATAAATTACCCAAACTGCTCACACATGTGCTGCTACATTAAATTATTTTAATAATGAAAACACTGACTTTGTAAAACCGAAAACAATGTTTAACATAAGCTATACACATCTCATGTTGCCACACTGGATCAGAGTTCTACACTATAGCAGATTTCTTTTCTCGTAAAGCCCAGGTGCAAACCAATCAGAATAATGCTATACAACAGGGTGGGGAGTGTGGGTCAGTCTGACTGCATTTGTGTGCTTCTTGGCCATTTTGAGTTAGGTCACTTACTACAGACCCAAATTCACAAGTGCTGCCAAGCAGATCTTGCAGCCAACAGAGATAGTTCAGGCTGACTTGCAATGGCCAAACCGTAAAATGTGATGACAACACTGACATGCTCCAATATAAACAACTTGTACCACTGCCATGTTGCAACAAAAGGCTTCAGCTGTCCCCACCCTGCAATACTTATAGGCCAATCCAGAAAATTATACTCCAGGAGCTAGTTACTGCAGACAAAATATGTCAATAGGGGTGAGTATTTTTGTCAAAAAGAATCCAAAATTCAATCAGTTAGATTTAATGCATCACTACAATGAACAAGACATAGAATGCTGTATTGTGCAATTGGAATCTAAATTCTCCAACACAAATGTCCTAGCTGTATACAGATCTTGCACAAGTGATTTCGAACTATTCTTGAACAAGTTAGAAAGCGTTATAAATTACCTTTATAAACCTAAGACAGAATTTGCCATTTGTGGTGACATCAATGTTGATTATCTTACTGAAAGCTACCAAAAAACAATGTCTGAATTCCCTACTAACATCCTCTAATCTCATGTCAATAGTTAATTTCAAAAATTAAATTCAAAATTACTCCAGTACTCCCATTGATAATGTTTTTATAGACAGTTCCAGGAAAGATCAGATATACCACATTAATATTACTGCTAGGAAATTAAAAGAAATGCAAAGATGGAATAATCATTATACCAAGTTTCATGTCAAGGAACAATACAATAAACCTATAGGCCTAAATTAAAGCAGGAAACACTGCACATACTTCTAGATTTACTGTAGATGAGGAGATACAAATAAGTAAAACTTAAGCCAAACTTACTCTCTTCAAAATTGCAAGTCTATGTTTCAATTTGGTATTTTGCAGTAGTAATTCTGATAAAACTCCATCTGAGGTGTCATCATTAATGTTTCCATGATGAAGTTCTTTTATTTCATGTACAAGTGATTTGATCTCTGCTTCCTGCAAAGACACACAGATAATATAAAGTTTCAAAAATGTTAAGATACATGTCCTAATAATTGTACTATTACGAAACCAACTGCAGTCTGGGAGCGCAAACACAAAGTAAATACCATTACATCCCTTAGATGAACTATTATGATTAGTCTACATTTCTTAATTCCATTTCTGTTACTTATTCGCTCTGTCAATATGTCTACGAACATAAAATGTGAATCATTTTCCAGCTTCATGCTGTAGTAGTATAAACATAACCTTAAAAACCAGTAATAAAACAATAAATACACAAAATACACTTGTTCTCCAAAAAATGTGACTATAAAGAAATATGTTTGCTGTCATTAAAAATTCATTTAGTCATCAACCTTGCTTGCTTCTATCTAAACTTGTAATCGAAGAAATATCTGGTAGGTATTTGAAAATAAGTGTGTAAACTTGAGGCACCTCAGCAAGTAACTTCTACTCCTCCCTGAAAAGTTTTGTTTTTTTACCAGAGTATCATACATATACTATGAAAAATGGTTTAACCCACGAAGATTGGAAACGAACACGCACCGCAGCATCTGCTCTGAATCTATACTGATATATATCTAGAGCCATTGAAACTTTGCCGTGTTGTAACAAGTATATAACATAAGCTTTGGCACAATTGCAAGACTTATATTTATTACATAGCACGGAGGATTTCACGAATTAAAAAATCACTATCTTCCACACACTTGATCACTGATACCGGATCAATGGTTGCTCTAGATCGATTGTAATCGATATCTGAATAAAAAATTTACTGGTTTGCTCTTCTACGATCTGCAACATTTCATATGTTTTAAAAATTACGACCGCTTTCTCGCGAATATTATTTATATTAATCTACCACATTAAATATTTATATGACACAAATACGAACAGACATATAAAAGGCCAGAAGACGAATTGACATGTCGGAAATTACCGGAGCCTTGTATGAGAATGTTATTAATCATTTCCCAAAGGATAATTGTACATATTTACCATAATGTACGTGATTCAAAATCACATAGATCCGGCAAATTCACTTGCATTTTCTACTTATTGATGGCTAACAGGCAAATGCAATACTAGAATAACCAAACTTTTCCCTATCCTAAATGATCCCTGAATGGAAGGTAAAACATTTTAAACCAAATCACTATGCCCCTAAATTTTAACTTCTGCTTGCATACCTTGGGCATATAATCTAATTTAATTTCTGTGGTATACTACACAAAGCACCTGGCTTCAAGTACATAAACAAAAAATATCACAAATTAATGTAAGTGCATGTTTATCTGAAATATATTTTACATAAAAATTCAACACTGCACGGTAAGGTTTTAAGATTAATGAAAGTGCAAAAGGTAGTTTTTACAAGTAACGTATGATTTTTGACATCACATGGTATGCAAGGACTCAGAATATCATTGTTTTTCAGTTTATAACACAAAAGTTCTTTAATTCTTTTATTCACTTATATATTCCTTACAACACATGCAGCTAATTTAAAAGAGGACATGAGACCATGGCAGACTGAATGAAATGAATGACTTGATTATTGCAACTCACAGAGAAGAAATCAAAATGTAAATGAATATCCTTACCTTGTGCACTCAACGTTAACAAAACTGCAGGCTGGGAGGAATTTGGGAAAGGATGATTTCCTAAAACACAATGCACCTCCTGGCAGAGACTGTCCAATTTGGAAGAAACTTACACACCATTAAAACACTATTTTGAACACTGGATAATGTCTATGATACTGTACGCTTAATACACACAGTATTATGGAAGTTAGTTAGTCTTTTGGCATCAAGTAATGGGCATAATAAAACCTAATCAATTGACAATGTCCAACATAATCACAGTGTGATGGATCAATGTGTAACTTACCCAAAAACAGCTATTCAGAGCTCTCTTTCTCAATTAATTTTTGTATTCTTAAAATCCATTAAAACATGTAAGTGGTAATGGGAATACACATCTTCACAAAACTTTATATATAAAAGCTAAACACAATTATAGTGTGCACTTGGCTATGTTCCGTTTGTCTGTACGCAACAAACATGTCTCTGTTACATATTCAGTTCAGATTTCTTGTACTACAATACCACTGGGATTTGATGATCCCTGGCCTTATCCTTATGTGACATAGCAAGTTCAAGGCAGAAGAATATGCCACTGCAAAATCTCCATTCGAGTGCCAAGTGACAATACACTCAGTAGCAAGTTCAAATGGTCAGAGTACAGTGAGGATCAGTGAAATTGCAGAACAGAACACTCGAGTAAAACATACAGCCTACAACATGACTGTCAGCAAATGCTGTTTTCTTCCTAGACAAACAGTGTCAAGCACTGATATGAGGGTAGGTAGGGGTCTACTATGGATAGGGTTTGTGCTGGAATTTATCTTTTTGCACCCAGACCTACATTATTACAAATCAATAAATGCAATTATTTATTTCTGAAAGATTTTTTGTGAACATTGTACAGTGCTTCCTAAATGTATCTACTTTTTTCATACAAAAGAATGACAAAAAAAACATGAAAATAGACCATGAATACAGTACCAATGAAAACCAGCATGGTACACGTGGCTGGATTTGTTTGCATTCCTTTCACTAGGTGCAGCACAGATCTGTTTCTCGCCTTGTCAAATGAAACTTGAACAGGAGGAAGGTGCAGCTTGTGCCATGGAATGAATTACTTTCTGATTTCAAAACAACTGCAGAGACTTCAAGAGTCTAAAAAAGTTCAACGCATCTAATACGATAAATGAATGTAGAAACAAAAGTAAAGATTTTATTCCTCCTGATTAAAAAGTAAGAATGATCTTGCCATCTTCCAACTCCTATGTTTTCCTTTTGTAATACTGATATAAAATTACTGAAGACCAATCATAATTGGGCCAATTTTCAGTCAGTTGTCAAGGAGCTACCATTGTTCTCAAGGTCCAGGTGGACAAATTTAAGTTGAAACAGGATAACAATAATCATACTGTTCACTAAAATGGATGTGCACATTCTTTTTCCTCTGGTGTTCTATACACAAAAAAATGCTAGTTATTCTATGACACATTACTATTTCCAAAACAGACAGGTTCCACATTCAATGTTGCTCTAATAGGAATTGCCCATGTGATGGGAAACTATATACAATGTTTGCACATACATAATTTTCTTGCCAATAAATATTAGAAAAAAGAATTGCACATTTATCTCCATGGGTAATGCAACACAAGTCACGTAAAAAAACTTTCAACGTTTAAGAAGTCATTAAAATATGTAAAAGCATGTTGCTCCAACCCAGAGTTAAGTGTGGGTCAGAAGAAAAGACAAACATGATTTACAACACTGCTGAGAGAGACAGTTATTCTTTACACCTGCATTCTGACAGAAGTTTTCAAAGCTTAGTTGTATAAATTATTTGTTTCATAAAAAGTTGTCCAATACCAACAAACGTATAAGCCTGCTTCTCCTTTAAAAATCTTCATTACAGCAATTAGTTAAGATTTGTACATTTTCAATAGCTCATATTTGCTACAAGAGACTGGGGCACTGCGAAAATAAATATACAACGATAAGAGCGATGCACACCAGATCGATAACTTGGTGGACTGTGCCATTCCTACTGCCACACCCACTTTCCTTCACGACACTGACACTGGCACACGCACTACACTTCGAGACATAGTTCAATGAGACCATCACTACTGTCCGTTCATCGGTTTTGCTAAACCTAACTGGGTCATCTCTGACTCGTCTGTTGGTTCATGTCATACAGTACTTGTGCAATTGTTCGTGATGACTCCACATTGCTTAATGCAACACTAGCCAAATGGGGCTCATAGCTTCGCAGAAATCTGAAATCAGATAACATTACAATGTTAGGGAATACTATTTTAAGACAATGTTAATATAAGTAACCTACATGTCTATTATATATCATGTAAACTATTACTAGCAACAATTATACTTCAGAACATACAGTCAGTAGGTAAAATGAGCTTATGTGTATCTTGCCTTTTTCCATTTGTAGAATAGATGACTAGGTTACGAAGAATAAGTGAAGATGTAAGTCGGATGCTCTTTGTAACTGGACCCTCATTGTCATCCTGAAAATTATACATTGGTATTCTTATATTCTTTTTAAGAGATCAAGACTAAAGGTAACATTATTACACAAACAAAACAAAACTTGTTCATAATGAAACAAAAAATTAACAATTTCCTGTATATAACACACTGCACTGTACACATCCCATATATTTACATATTTTCTATCCAAATCAGAAATTTACAACCTATTACTCAGTAGCACAAAGTTAAATATATTGACCGTAACAGTCGAGAGGCAGGGTTAATTCTTTCCCACCTCTGACACTAATGTACCTTCTTACAAAAAGTAAAGAAGAAACAGTGCAAAACAAACTTATGTGAGCAGAAACTAAATCACAAGGCATGCTATTTTTATGTTTTTGCTTCAACATTCGATTTGTCATACACTCTCCATTTATTAGAGACACTTCTACATTTGATTTTAAACTTATCAAATATTTATACATTCCTGTACAAAAGAGGACAGGCTGTGTTGCACTGTTATATGTGTTTCACCCACGTACTCCTGACACTTGACAGCAGTGTCAATGGAACCAAACTGTTTCCCATTTGAAACACTAAAAATACCTTAAAAACGAAATCTCCGGCTTCTTTATACAAGACCTGAGGCTTGCTTTTACGGCCTTCCATAAATAAAAGCACATAATTAAAATCCACTGAATGTCTAAAGTGACTTGCCAAGTTACGTGATGGCTGGTGTAGACGATAAATAAATACACTTCCATTCCCTAACAACTTTCACATACTTGAGCTATGAGGTTTTCTTGGTGGTGAAAATGATGGTAGAAGATTATGGCAATGTTCCTCCAAAATGGTGGTGATAACCTACATGACTACACAGCATCACAACTCAAAAGTCAACAGTCTTAACTTTTACTTACGTAACCTGCATTATAGAAATCTCCGTTAGTATTACTCATGCTATCACTTGTGTCATAAAATGTTTCTTAAATCAAGGAGCTTAATAAAACCATTCTTCTGTTTAACACACATGACCAGAAGACACATCACCAATCTGATTATGAATATAAGAACATTACTAGTATGTTATAATTATGTGAAAGTATGTCTGTCTACATGTTTCACTTTTATAAGTACTCAACAGATTTATGTGAAATTTGGTTTGGGGGGCCTGAAACAGGTGTTGAGCAAACAGTTTGACCTGTATTAGCCCATTCTTTATATGAAGCTCAAATAAAATGTTAACCTCAGAGAAAGTCTGCCTACTCTGGAGTCTGAGCTGCAACTAGACTTCACCAAATACCTTTGCTAAAGGTATTTTGTGACTCAGGGATATCAAGATTAAAATGATATGCTATACATAACAAAGGTGACAACCTCCTAAAAATGTATGTGTACATCTCAAGGACCACCATGTTTATTTTGCAAAGATACCTTGGGCATAAACTTAAGCTAATCTAAAAAGCAACACTTTTAAAATTAAACATGGTGAATTTTGACAATAAATTTACTTATTGTATAATCAATCAAACTCTTTGAGGTACCTTTCTTCCTTGTTCCTGGCAGCACAGAAATTAAAAGCAATGTCAATAAACTTTACTGAATGTCTTTCAAATTTAAAATAAAAATAGCATTATCAATTAGAAATACAACCAGATCTCAATAACAATCAGGTTTAAACAAAATTTCCACAACTGACTTGTCAATTTTTAAAGATGAATTTGTACTGGTTGGCATTTATACTATCTCGAGAATCTGCCACAAGATTTTAATTAACACTATTTTGAATTCTTTTTAAAATAACTAAATCACAAATTTAAAAATGAATTTATCATGATACTGGCAAGTAAAAACAACAAAGAACACCTATTTCACATACACATGCATGCACACGCGCAAATGTACACACACTCACATAAAAATTACATTACAATTTATGATGAAACAGAAAACATAAGCAGGGCAAAACTTTTCTAGTGCAACGAATGTCATGCGTTTGTTTTAAGGACCATGCTCTATGTGGCTACCAAAATGAAGATGACAATGGAAGATTAAAAAAAACACTGCATTAAAACTAATGAGGGCGGACAATTTTACTGCTGCTGGCGAAAGTGCTTTTAGTAAAACCACAAACATACACTCACTATATATTTTTAAACTACAAATTTCTAAACTAATTTTATTACACTAAAACAAAAATGACATACTGAACGCAGTTGTGATTTTGGTTGAAACATCATAGAAAAATGCTATTCCTAAAACAATGAAACTATTAATGAAATCCAATGGTGATATTAAGTTTCGGTACGGATAATTTTCAGTGGGCAAAACATTACATGCAAAACATAGTATATAATAGTTCACAATGTGCAAAACTTCAAACTGGTAGGTATCATAGAGATTTTGATTACTGTAACTATTACTAAAAGACAAATTAATTTAGAAAGCATAATCCTTGCTTGCAATGGACCATTCAAAGAAACAGCACCTGAAAATGGAGCTTGATGTTTTATTTTTGCAAAGAGTTTCCCAACATAAGTATGGATGGAACAAGCATGCAGGATAGGAGTTTAATAAATAATGCTATATGCTACAAGATGTTTTCAAATGCGCCCATTTCTTGCTTACCTGCTCGGGCGGGCTTGGGCCAGTCCGAGCTGGAATAGTCGCAGGTGGCCCTGGTTTAGTGGGCCTCTGCAGCACGGTCAACAAGAGAGAACACCAAGAAATTCAATGATTGACTGTACGCATGTGGTTTTACTCAAGCCCCACTGGAGGACCTTATAGATCCACACTGTAGCAAGCGAACATTGAGAATATTTTCTACTTAGTAGCCATGGCAATCACAGTTTCTTCTCAGTAAAATTATGCGAAACATAAAAAGGGGTAAAATCATGAAACGTATTTCAACAAACTGTATAAATTTCTACACATTTTGTATTACATACAAAATCACTGATATAGTCCAGTAATTTTTCCTGCATCCCATTATTTCTAAAATTTAGAAAATTTAACTTCATATGCTCAAACTTCTCATAAATAATTACAAAAGCTGCACTAATGACTGGGCTGGCTGCTAAGTATTCAGTGGTTCTTAACAACACACAATTTGGTAATTTAACCATCAATATCAATTGAGATTTTAAACTGAAAATACATAACAAAGCTTGCCAATCTAGAGATTCATCATTAATTGTTCTAGGTGTGTTGAAGTGCTTTGCTACATTTTTTTTACAAAGTATTGAGAATTTATGGGATCAACTTCCTGATGTTTTTCTACAACGTAACAGAATACTTCTGATTTCCTATAAGGACAAAGTGAAAAGTGCTCCCACAATAGCTGTATCTTGTATTAGACAAATCAACATTTACATATACTCATTTTTTTAAAAAAACTTTCTGATAACTTATGAAGATTTTTTAAGATGTAAAATTTATTTAAAACTGAATCACCTGTATTTTTAAAAAATAACTTTGTATTATTTTCCTATCTTTGTCTCAACAAACTTTCCCACAGAAACAGGGGCCATGAAAGACAACTGTCTTTGTGTTAGTAAAATGTCTTTTACAATTTATGATGCATTACAATTAAGGCTGGGACCACACGACCATACAAAGTACGCTGCAACGGACATACTTTGAACGGTCGTGTGGCCAGGGTCTAACGTTCAGCTTCACTGCCTAACCCACAGTTATTTCAGAATATTGAAACAATCACTTCTTATTTCGGGCTATGTAGATTCATCACACACAAAATATACGTAAAATTGTTTATATAAACTTTCACAAACATTTGTCAGAATGTACTTGTGATTCGCTGATTTCAGATATGTGCCCCGAAGATTCTTTCTAGTTATATTTAAACACAGACACATGCCTGTTATCACCAGACGTGTATCGTGGTGGTGGCATTATTATTATTATTTGCAAGTCTTTCAGACTCAATATACTTTTTCACAAACTGGACCTACAGATCAATAAAAATTATGCATTTGCTGTAAAACATAAAGATGACAATTAATCAGGAACACAAAATATTTAATAAATATATGAAGATGGAAAGATAAGTTTACATTTTATACAACCTGGATTTGAAGCCTGGAAACCAAATCCTTAAACAGGACAGCACTGTTCTCTTGAAGATCCACTATATATATACTTTTATACATATTTACATAGTAACACATACATCAATACACTTTCAGCTGTCAATGATTTACATGAATCTGCCATCTTTAAACTATAAGATACAGGATTGTAATAATCTATTGATTATTTCTTTCCTACCAACATATTTTCATCCTGCCTTGATAGATTTAAATTACAGTGTTCAGTAACTTACCATCATCTCCTTGGGGTTAACAAATTCAAGTGCATGCCTTTTAATAGCATGGAAGGCTGCATTTGGGGCATATCCAGGATGTGGGGGTGGAGGTTGGGGTGGGGGAATCTCGCTCCTCCCACTCTGAGAAAGTTGCCGACGACGTACTGCCATCATACGAAGAACCTGAACCCCAAAATGACAAAATCTTTGTACACTGTTATGAACAAGCGACAATGCAAGAAACTAAAACCTTCCATGTGGTAAACACCAAAAACTGAACATTTCTAAGGATGAGTTCACACTTGAATTCATGCAGGGAAACATCTATTCAAGGGGAGTACCCAAAACAAGATTGATTACAAAATAAAAATGAGTGTGTAGCGCCACGTAGTTACCAACGTTACATAGGTCTTTGCAGCCTCCTCAGGGTGATGATGAAGGCAGCAAGGACATCTGAAACGCTGGTAAATTTCTATCAGACTACATGGTGCTACAACCCAGAAGACATCTTAGTTCAATATTATACTTTTCCCAACTTACACCTACAAAAGGTTATGTATTCCCAAAGTTTCAAAACCTCTCTTCTCAAATAATCTTGCCTCCACATGCACCATATAAACTACAAATATTCATCAAAACAGTGACTAAACCTTGGTGAAGGCACAAAACCACTTATGATGATGACGACGAACAAAACCAAACGATGATGATGACAACAATAACAACATATGTAACAGCAAAATTAGATTCAATAGCCACTACTTACATCAGCATTGCAATGTCGATCATAAAGATGTGTCATGAGAGAAAAGCGCTTTCGCTTCATGGCATCACAGCGTTCCCACAGACACTGAATTTCTTCACTGCCCAATGGGCAGTGTGCTTCACAAGCATGCATGTAGACCTCGTTCGCAGACTTGAAGCTCCTGCACATACGAACTCCTGTTTAGAACTTCAAACGCACAGTCAGATGCAGTATTTTGTTAATTTATTTTTCAGAATTCCTGTAAAAATTTGCCAAGGCTTAACCTTTAACAAATGTATTTAAGAATTATATGATTTTAAACTTATTGGAAGTAAAATAATGAATGTCTCTGTAGCATATGGGGACAGAGTTTCTGATAAATAGCACCACTTATGGTTCTGTAAGTGGGGAAAGGGGGATGGGAAGTGTGAGGAATTCAAGTACACTAAATTAATCAAGTGACAATCTTTTAGGCAGGAGCAGGGAGGCAATCAACATGTTACTCCAAATCAAATAACATACATCTAAGAAAATATGTTTTTATAAAAAAGCACTGAAATATGCTCATCTTCAACTAACCAATAGAAATATGTACTGTTAAAAAGGAAACACTCACCGCATACATCCCCTCCATTCACACAAGAAGATGGCCTGATCCACAATAGACCCTGCTGTCATCAGTCTTGTTTGTGGAGGGGTTGGCTGGCATGGCGGCTTGCTGCTTCTTACAGTGTTCTGGAGTGTGGATTTATCTGAATTAGTTTCAGTTACAGGGGTACTTGATGACTGAGGCCTAGTGTTGGGTAAGGTTCTTGTTTGTTTAGGTGGCTGAACTGGGGTGGCTCTTGGTGAATTAAGAGCTGTGGGTGATGGAGAGAGTGGAGGCCTTGGGATAGCAGGCACTGCTGTAGGATGAACGGTAGGTGGTTTGGCATTAGTTTTTGTGGCAGTTACCGGTGATGGTGAGACAGGAGCCAGTGTGGTGGTCGACAAGTTTGTTGGAGTGATGGCCCTTGTTAGGGGCTGAGCCGGAGGTAGACTAGTTGATGTGCCAGTGGAGGCAACCCGGGAAGGTATATGAACAGGAGTCGTATTAGTTGATGTAGCCACAGTGGAAGTACTCACATGCTTCACAGGCTGAAGTGAAGGAGAGGCAGGAGATAGTGGGGGTTGAGGAGGGGCACTTGAGGTTGGCACAAGTGCTGGAGGAGGGATGGATGCAGAAGGGGGATTGGAGATGGCTGGACTCTGAAGGATAGGCCGCGGAACCTGCGTCACAACAACAGGTTGACCCTGTGGTGTCACAACCACCTTCTGGTGGTGAGTGGCAGATGAAGAACTCTGGGGCTGTAGGATGATGATTGTCTTCGTGCCTGTACCCTGCTGCTGAGGTGTCTGTGCCACCAGAACTGTCTGTGTCTGACCCTGTACCAGTGCAGTCTGGGGTTGTGCAACCACATAATGAGCCTGGCCAGAACTGCTACTTGTAGACACAATGTACTGGCCTCCCTGACCACTGCTTGTCTGGACCAACTGGACCTGTCCTTGTGCTGGGGCCTGAGAGAGGATAAACTGGCCAGAACTTGACTGAGAAAGTACCACTTGGCCAGCCTGCATCAGCTGTGCTCCCTGCGAATGAGTCACTGCAGATATCTGCGTCCTTTGTGCTGCACTACCTCCTGTCTGGACCAGAACAGGCACTGCCTGGTGGCCTGTTGGGGTCTTTATGGTGGCTGTGGCTGCATTGGGTCCCTGCTGTAGAGTGAGCTGACCTCCTGCTGTGATTAGTACCTGTCCCTGCGGGGCTAGCTGTCCCTGGGATACAATGATCTGCCTTGGTGCTGCTGTCACAATCAGCTGCTGCTGCGGGCCAGACTCAACACCCTGGCCCAGAAACACGGCTTGCCGTAAACCACTAGCACTTTGTACCAGCACTTGCGTTGGTGGAGGTGGTGGCAACTCAAGTTCTGGCTCATCTTCCAATGCAGAGGCAGCTAGTGCTGCATACAAGTTTGCTGCTGATGGAGATGCGTTTACAGCTTCTGTATTATCAGCTGATGCACTTGATGATGTAGATTTGTCTGTTGAACCTGGTGACAGGGGTCCTGGGTTTTGTTCTATGCCTGCTGAGATAGGCCCCGGGGAGGATGTCCCATTCATCACAGACTCTGGGGACAGGTGTGGCCGTTTCGCTTCTGAGACTCCATCCTCAGCTCCGAGACTCTCGGCAGCTGGCCGTTTCAATGTTTGAACAGTCTGTGTCTGCTGAGTCATTACCCCATACTTCACTTGTTCATTCGGGGCCACAACAGAGTTACCCATGAGGGGCTCATCAGTTGTGCCAATACCTACTGTCTTAAATGCAGTATTTCCTTTTTCATTGTTGGGAACACCTGCCAAATTGTTAGAAACTTGTCCTACTGTCCTAACCACACCAATGGACTCACTACAATTATCACTAATACCTCCTACATTCTTTGAGGTTTCCTTAACATCAACTGATTTTGTCTGTGTGATGGAACTTTCTTTCAGCACTTTCTCAAGATGATTTTCCACAAGTTCCAAACCCTTCTCACCAATACGAAGTTCTTTTCCAAGCACACCGTTCAGTATTGGAGGCTCCTTTTTGTCTACTTTCTTCTCCAGCAAGTCTGCCAACATAAGGCTCTTAGTTCCTGCAGGTTTAGGATTTTGCTGTTGTGAGGAGCTCCGTGCCGAATCCTTTGAGCTGCTGTCATTTGATGCAGCATCAATATCGAGTGAATGAGGAATGCCATTAAGCAAGAGGCCTTCAAAACTTGTAAGAGAATTATCTCCATCATCTGTAGACGAGATATTGCCCGTACATATTCCACTGCAATCTCTACTACTTGACGCGAGAGAATTGTTACCTGTTGAGTCAGAATCCTCAACATCTAATCTGGAGGGCAGACAAGAGTTGCTGAGAGGGGCTAATGGAGGAGGTGGAGGCTGGGGAGGCTCTCGGCGACCCCTCAGAGCAAGATTTCCACCTCCAATGGCCAGGGCTGGAGAAGGGACATGATTTTCTGTAATCACTCTAGTTGGTATTTGAGTAATGACTCCTGGATTTACAACACACTGAGTAGCAGTGGTTATGATGCTAGAGGCCATGGAGCAGGAGCCATTACTGCTGTTCTCTCCAGCTGCATCCCTTAATGGTTCCAACTGAAATGAAAATCAACATCAGCCATTTTGTACTCAAACATGGATAAACATTTACCATTTCCAAGGTTAAGCTGCAAAAAGCATTCTACCTCGTGATGGGTTTCTTTATGACTATCGGTGTAGTTTACTTACAGCTGATAGTTATTCAGCTGATCAAAAAATTCTGTGTTATGGAATCTGGAGTTTCATCACTGTCAACACAAAAGCAAACTAATGAATTCTATCTTCAGTTAGTTGAATCCAATTTACATCTCCAAAGCATACTTCTATAAGATTCATCTTAATACAACCCTCTCTTGACTTTGAAGTTATATTATTAGATATATTTCCTATGGATCTCTCACCTGTGCCTGTGTTTGTGTCTGGGCCTGCAATGGCGTCGTCTGAGACTGCACCTGAAGAGGTGTCCTTGCTCCATTGATGCGTGACACTCTCTGACGAGGATCAGGACTCTTCACCGTTGTAGTGGTGGTTGTTGCTACTCCAGCAGCAGCAGCAGCAGAAGGTTTGCTCTTGGAGGTTATGTTTCCCACTCCCTTGCCTTGAACACTGTTTGATGTAGAGGGTGGAAGTAGTGGTGGCGGTGAAGATGAATCCATCTTCTGCGACTGTAACTGCTGCTGCAAGAGTCGTTGCTGCTGTTGGCGCTGTGTGACCTACAGTCAATAAGAAGTAAAAAAATAATTAAATTATTGTGCTGATCACAGACAATGCCTCACTTTAAACCCCTCATAGTCAAGATGAGACCACTATGACAATCTCTAGCAAATGTGGATTTGCCTCTTGAAGCTGAAAGGAACTGTAGACGTTATTAAAAGACAATAATATGAAGCATAAGATACTCATATAGCATGTTCCATTAGCTATACTGTACATAAAATTAAATGCAGAGTTACAGTCTGTGAAAACAGGTGGGGCATATAGTTACCACTGGGTTTTACATGGATTGTAGCAATATTTGATTTGCATCAATTTAAAAGTATGGAATGAAGTTTGTTTCACCTATGATTGGAACTGAAGTTTTAATATATTCATGTGAATACAACTAAAATAGTGTTATGTTTGGACATGGTCCATTTTACTTCTAAATCATCAAAATATAACTACTCAGTATGTAAATTATAACCAGACACTGCTATTTCAGTGAACAATTATATCACAAATTAATTGAAGAAAATTAACAAAATTAGTTATGTACCTGTCAGGACTTCTTTCTTTCATCTGTAAGTAAAGGAACCATTACATCAGCCTTGTAGATACCATGAAAGAAATCACTTGCTCACATCAATGTTAATTATAAGATTAACATAACATACAGTAAGAATGTAATCATGATGCTTTGAGAGGACAGAGTTACTGGTGTAAGTTTCTGCATTTTATTTAAAGAAACCGGTAGAATGCGGTACTAGCAGGACACACACAGAAAGAAAGACCAGCAAAAGCACTCAGCACACAGAAATATTTCTAAATCCCACTCTGATATTCCTCAAAACAAGAATAACACAAAAGCAAAAATTTGTTCATGTATGACAACTAATAATGTTCGATCACACATTAAGAGCAACTTCTAGTTAATGAATCTCACTGTACATGTTCCAGTTTTCTTATCCAAGTACGGTACCTTATCGTCTTCCATCACATAAAGAAGGAATTCATCTCTACTAACCCTTCATTAAAAACACTACAGCAGTTTTCTTAACGCTGCATCTCTCAATATAATTCTCACCATACCATAACTGATTTATATTCCCATAAGAACACAAATTTTACTAGCATCTTTCATGCCTTTTCCCTTGCATGCTAATAAAATTTCAATGCAATGAAATACTGAAAGGAGAAGTCCATCACATATGCCACTGAAAAACCAGGAATTTCCATGCTTTCTTACATCCCACACTAAATATGCAGCAGAACGACCATGTAGTTTACACTGATCTTTGGGTTAGTGATGTAAAATATACAATACTAATATTGCCTTAAAGTTTTTATCATGATATTATGAGGAAACAGGATGACAACTATAACAGTAGACATGGAAAGGTTCCAAGAAACATGAGCCCAGTGATAAAAGTTCACATCATACATAGACACTATCATATGAGCCTTCGGTACTACAAATGCTCTTATTTTCCGTCCAATGCAACAACTTCAAAACCTTGTTTACTCTGCCCTCTTCTTTTACAGTGCAATTTCAACTCTGCATACAGTGCACTATAAGTGTTGCAGCACAGAGCACTGTAACACTTGGAGTTAATATACACACTATTGTCAGTCTAACAGCACATACCATACCCACCATGAGTCACTCCACATTCAACCCTGAACACAGCCACCAAAAAGCACAAGGTGTAAAAGTTTGATTTTCCTGCAAACTTCTCTCCACATCACAATCTAAAATGGCTCTGGGACACATTTAGCCTTCAATCCTACAGACACTGATAGATGCCTTTCCTAAGATAAAGACAGCCAGAATATGAAGCTACAACTTGATCTAGTGACTTATTTAAGATGCAATCGAAATGTCTCTTCTTGGCCTTGTCCAGAATGGCTGCTGAATAACTCCAGCTGTTTACTCGGTGAAGAACACGAATGTGTTTCTTGGGATTAATGTGACTACAGCATAAAGCACTACACTTAGGTTCACTTACAAACTTCTCACAGGAGCATCTAACAATTTATTCTTCTCAACCACATCCAAAATGGCCCTGGGACACTCCAACCTTCTACCCACCAAGTACTTGGGGGTATCTTTCCTACTGTAGACAGAGCCAAAGAATTAACTTTTTTATTTATTGTTTATTTAATAATGCTGTCAGTAGTTCAGACTATGTAATGTTGAAATTACATGATTAATTAATAATAAATTGGCAAGGATATGGAAGGAAGTGGTTGTGGCCTAATTTATGGCACTTGCCTCAAGAGATGGAGAAAAACCATGAAAGAAGTCAGTCTGGATAGGTGGTCTCTGAGCCAAGATTTGAACTTGTGAAACAGGAGTCCTAACCACTTGGCTGTGGCATTCAGTATCCATAGCATCAATCACACCTTTATTTACCGTCAAGGTTGAAAATGTATGGAGCTTTTCCTTACATATGAACAACATGAATTTATATTCATACATAGAATTCAAACGTATATTTTATTCCAACATTACCAACATAACTTGAAACCCAGTACCTACCATTCTTTATTCTTGATCTTCAGTGACAGTTGTTATACTAAATGCTACGCAAATTAAATTTCTGAATCTGCTGAAAGAAATATTACAAAACTGTGACAGAGGAGTAGACCAACTCATAAACTATACAATAACAATGCCATTATTTTACCGAGAAAACCATAACCAGTGGTGAGCCTCAGTATAATGTGAGGGGAGGCTTGGGAAGGCAAGACTGGATTGCACTTACCATGGATTAACTCCTGAAGACACGACAAGTTTCTGGAAACATATTTAGCTACTGAACTGATTCTTTGGCATACTCTTCAATTAATATGAAAAAGACAGGTATATGGTATTATGTCCACGTGTCACTAATAACTTCTGAAGACAAACTTGGTATGAACATCATGCCATGAGAGCTGACACTATCTCACTATTTGTAAGGAGGAAACATTAGTTCTACTACCAGAGTACAAATGTAGGGGCCTTAAATTGTGTAGAGTAATTTTTTGGAGCTAACATATCCTAATCATCAATGGCTGACAACTGGGCTTTTAGCAAGAAGCATGGATATTGCAGTTTCAGTTAGAACAACTGAAATTTTGCATGATTAATAAAGGAATTGATTAATTCTCGAAAGGGGCTAGATCTCCTACCGTCTTTTGTGGTGTGATGCCCTCTACCAGGTCTCGTGCCCTCAGGGGTATAGAGCAGTGGGGGTAGAAACAAAAGTTGCAGTAATAATACTCTATGCTCATAAACATCAATCCTACAGCTCAAATAAATGTTTAATCAGCATTACTCTTCCATTTTTGGAATTTGACACACATACAATTTCAATTAAGTAATGCTTTCTGTAGAACTTTAAGAATACAAATACCACGGTAAAATACATTCACTTGAATTTCTAAATACCTGAGCAGCTTAAAGCAACACCAATCAAAGAATTAGGAATGACAATTACTATTAATTGATTAATGGGTTAAATTTTCATAAAAGTCAGCCATATTAGCACTGAGGTGCGAAGCAGGCTGGTGCAGCAATAATGCTTTAGACTGTATTCAGGAGGTACCCCAGATTGAATATTGGTTGAATTACTAGCCATTCAAGTTGAAAATTTCATGGTTTTATTCTGTCAATCTTCAAATAGGTTATGACTGCCTCATTCTAAAACCTTACTCATCACTAAAGATCATCTTCCCATCTTAACTAATACTAATGCAGTTCAAATAGCATTGTTACAGAATCTTAAGACAAGATCAACCACTGAACTAACCTGCTATAGGAAACTCACAAAATTAATCCAAATAACAGATGGAGAATACTAAAATTTAGAAACTATCATGCTACTACGAACAATCCACATCCAAGTGACTTGCACAATTCCTGAAACAGAACACCTTACCTCCAACTTCCTCACACGTGATCACCATAACCAAACACTTTATCCGCATTACAATACACACTGATACATGTTAAATCAACATAACATCAAATATTTAATACAATCAAAATCCAAAACTGTTTTTAAATTAGGTTAATAGTAAACCAATACTCAGAAGTAACAACACTACTTAAAAAACATGCAAACAAACAAACAAACCAACCAACCAACGAGCATGTCGCCTGTCACCATAAAAAGGAAAACAAGGAGAGCTTAAGTTATCCATATCTTAAAATCTGTAACACATTCCAAGATACTTCACTTTCAGTGTCTTATTTGTTATAACATTTATAATAAAATAAGAGTCAAAGCTGAAAACCAAAATCATATCAAGAGACATTAAACTGTTCAAGTTCAATATCATAATTTATGAGCAAAATTTCATATAATGCTGTACATATTGGGCATATTAAAATGAGCTACCAACTCCATGGTACAGTGCCCATCTTAGAAAGTGTGTTGTTACTCAGCTAACCAAGAAATATTTTGTTTTCCAGGAACTCAAGGGTTAACAAAAGCCTGCTATTAGGGCCCATCATGAGCCAGCTGATTCCAGTTCACACCCTAACACTTCGTAACTGCATGACCTGTTTTAAAAAATTCCCCAATCTATATCCGTGTTACAAGGTCTGCCATGTGGTCTCTGCCTTTTGAAGTTTTCTGACCAAAATTGTTTTATTGTAATTTGTCATCTCTCCCATATTAAAGATAGATAAAACTTTCTATAAAATTAAAATCGTGGGAATGTATGTTCACTTATACGTCAAGAACGGATATAAAATTGTCTGCCCAAAACTTAGCATGCTTGTTTCTTGAAATCAGTACGAAATTTTAGAAGGTTCAAAACTCAGGATAAGTGACTTGGGTTTGAGTCCCAGTGAGGGTGGTTTCTATAGCTCAGAAACTAGGCATAACAGAGAAACCGCACCAAGATCAGAGTCTATTTATTATCTGTTTCCAATTTCCTAAGCAGTAAATATCAATTAAGCGTAAGAAATCAATAATTCTAAATTATAGTGAATTAAGTCTTCATGACTTACTGAAACCTAAAGCTACATTGGAGGGAAAAAATACCAATACAAATTTTACTGGTTAGTAAGCATGAAAACTATAAACAATTCCTTTTGGAATAAATACCTGTTTAATCATGTTTGTGACTCAATAATTTGCTTAGTGATTTTGTCAGAACTCAATGTTTGAAGGGGGTAAGATGTTTACCTGCGGTGCTGGGGGCGGCTGCTTGGTGGATGTGGATTCAGTAGTAGTGGTAGTAGAGCACGCTTCAGGCATCATGCTACTCGCTGCTACAGTAGCAGGCTGGGGCATCATGCACTCACTGCCGGCAGCGTTTACCTTGGTAGCCAGAAGGCTCTTGATGAGTGATGTGGGAGGGCCACCCCCTGCCACTTCTTTATTGGACCCCGGCAACGCCTTACCACCAGTAGCAGAATTTGGGGATCCCCCACTGCTTCCCAACAGGGCTTGGGTCAAGTGGGGATGAGCCAACACCTTCATGGTAGCACAGTGACAGACACAACCAAACAATAGCAAAACTAGACCAAACAACTGAAACAACCAGCCACTCAACAACTCTGCTGTAAAGTCTTACCAGGTTTCTACAATTTTCAATTCAATTCAATTCAATTTTATATGTGTCCCTGCTTTATAATTTCTACACCCTGAAAATTTAACATATTCCACAGAAAAGGGATGTTCTTGAGAAGTTGATCAAGAAACAGAGACAGACCTGCCTACAAGGTTTGCATAATGAACACCTACATGAATAAATTAGTGAGTAATCTGGTAAGATTATCAACAGCTTTCACAACTAAAACTGAAAAAAACACACAACATTCATACATATACATCAATGAATGAAAATAGAACGATGCAAAAATATACACCAAAATTTAAATGCTACAAACTAAGCAACCACAAAAACAAACTACCACCCAATTATGAGACATATACTGAATATAAATTCACTTCTATTGTAAAATGGTATTTTGAAATGCTGAACAGATACCTATAAAAGGAAGGAATTCTTAAAATATAAACCACATTCAGAAATCTAAGTGTCATTCCAAATTTGCTAATCTATGGAATTCAACATAATAAAATCAAAATTTATTATCACCAACTGAAAGAAATACATCAGAAGTGGTTCGGTCCAAAACACTGAGCCTAATTCAGCACCTCTTTTATTTTATTTGCAGATAACACATTAATCATTAATATGTGAGAAGTTTTTAAACTTCAGCATTATCAAGATGCCAACTAACACCCTTTTCATTTGACTGCATGACATACATGAATCCAATTCTTATTTTCACACATAAAACTGAAATATAAAGAACTTATGTATATTAAAAGCCCAAGAAGAAATACCTGAGAAGTATAATTGGTACAACTAGGAGAGATGAAATACAGAATGTACTATGAAGATGTACGATTGAGACTCTGTCGTAGCTGATACAGATAATAACCTGCCAAACCCATTAAGACAAGAAAAACAGGAGGAAAAGAAACAAATGATTCATAATTAATGGAGCTAAAAGAACTACAGAGGCTATTCAGCATTGAAAATTGCTGGTGGAATGCCTGAAAGGTCTGTTTGGTGCGAGGTCTATAAACTAGAAACAGCTGGTTCATGTACTGGAACATTAAATTTGAAATGAAAAGGACATAACATAATCTTAATTATCACAAAAATTATCAAGATATAAACCAATTAACTCTTATGAAGAATTCTGTCCATTTGTAATGTCACGGACCACTCCATTTCAGATATATACAAAAGATATAGCAATAAATACAGTACCAAGTGCTCCCATATGCATATAATAATGCCATAAAAAGAGTTTTTTCTCTAAATACATAACAAAAGTTCATTCAATACACTATAACAAGTACCTCCGAGACTAACGATGCTTTATAACTTAAGAATCACTCTGATTTGGGCAAACCCATTCTTGGCCATCAAGCAATTCCCATCTCATCAGATGCTATCTAACACTGCAGTTGAAACAAAACCTTACAGAACCTAAGAACAAATCCCATTCGGGTAAATGCAAATTCAATTGTGATATTTTGATTTTGTAGCTATATGCTACATGTGTTTATATGGGAGTACTCCTTACCTTATTTATTGAAGAACCTTAGGGACTTGGTGATATTACCTCCATTACACCTTCTCAGATTATTATGTGCAGTTTCAAATATAATAAGCTAATGTGCAAGATTACATAGAAGAGATGACAGGAAAGCACCAATTATATAAGAACCATCAATCCAGAAGCAATTACCGTCCTGATGTCACACGCATTTCCAATCTCAGCTGCAATTTTTGACGGAAATTATATCTTGCACCAGAATTGGCTTCTTATGATGCCACAACTTCTAAAATCTTGAAGTATGAGATGTAGTGGATTTCACTTTGCTGTCACGTCAGTATTCTAGTAAACAACAACAGTGCAATGCGGTGCTGCAGTGCTATTTTACAAACCTATTCTTTGCGATACGACATCCCTGACTGGTCTCGACATTCACTTACTACCAACAAACCTAGTATACCCAAAGCTAATATTATACCACAGAGGTAGAAACTATTTTTTGGTGTATCCTGTTACTGCTGACCACCCACTTCAAAATGTCAGCACAATGTGTTGAACAGTTTCTGAGAAGAAACATGAAGATGGGTAGTAACAACCTCCCCATTATACATACATTTTATTTATACTTTGCAAAGAACACGTAGAAAGGAACACAAACTCAAAAATGATTATGTTACAATTATAAATTGTCGCACTGGAAGTGGCATAAAATAAAATATTAACGTAGGATTTGTGGTTTTCATGGCGGTGAAGCTGTCAACCGTAGTCTTCTGGGTTGCAACATTATGCGGTCTTGTTGGTGGTTCCCCAATGTTTCAGAGGAACAACGGTAACAACCTACAAGACCAGATGGTGCCACAACCCAGAAGACTGCTACTGACAAATGTTCCACTTGTGTATTTCAAAGGCTGTATATAATGAAGCTACCTGGAAATACCATGGACTCGGCAGCTGAGACAGAATCACATATGTGATATACGGGAAATATCAAGATCCATAGTTCTTGTCCTTCCGCTTCTCAGTCAACTCTTCCAACGTAAAATAACACATAAATATGGGGTATACAACATACTTCTACAAGACATAAACTAAGTGCAACATACCTGACTCTTTGCATCCCCTTTTGGAGTCTCCCTTTGTTTCGGTGGAGCACTCAACTGAGCTTTGAGGATGGGGGAGGCGGGCGCAGGAGCAACAGGCAGTGAGGCATCACCCGAACTGGCAGAACTATCAGATATGGCTTGGGGAGCTGGAGATGTGGTAGGTGGGGGAGGGGTCACTGTCTTGGTAACAATATTAAGACCCTTGCGCTGTACAGGCATTGTCGGTGAAGGCGACTGCTGCACTGGCTGGGGTGATGGCGGCTGCTGAATGGTACCGGACACTGATACAGGGACTGAGAATGGATTTGCTCGCACCTTTATACCCTCGTAGAACATCAGGCTGTTGGTTCCCGGCTGCTCCGCACTCCCACTGACAGCCATACCGCCCGGCTGCTTCTGAGGGTTGGGCCCGATGGTGCCTCCAAAGACAGACCTGGAGCATCAGATGTTAACAACAGTGTTCAAATTTAGGTTCCTTACTCCCAGTCCAAGATGGTAGGTATACACCACAACCAACATGACTTTTACAAAGATTGTACCTGACACAGCGAGGAAAATGAAGAGGAGCGATGACACCTCGGCGACCAATCTTAGCACACGCATTCAGATACTGCTTATACAGCTCTGCCTGCTCGATGCGGCAGCCAGTGGCTGGTTCAAAGGTTGCACGTAACCATGCCAGAGCAAACTGCTCATTCTCCTGCGCAGCTTGCTGGTGAGCATGCTGTTGCTGCTGATACTGCTGGGGCGTCTGTGCCGTCGTCAACGACACTGGCGTAGCTACTGCTGGCTGCGGGGCACCTATCACCACTCCTGCAAGCCATCAACACATTCTGATTGCTATAAAAGCAAAGTGGCAAGTATGAAATTTGAACTTGGGACTTTCAGCATACAAAACAGGAGTAATGCTTGGCATGGATGGAGATAATATGTTCCTCTGAAATGTTTGTATCTACCTACAAGTCAACACAGCATTGACACCCAGTACGATATCGACATAGTATGGCACAGCTTATGAAAAAGTCTTGTCTGCAACTTCTTGATCATAGTGACATGAAAGACTAAAGACTGGGTTTGTTCTTGTTATCCAAAATGGGATAATAAGAGTTCAATAAGATACTCTCTAATTTTCTAAACCTTAGCACATTCTACTTATGCAGAATGCCCGAACTCCGAAGGCACGTACATATTTGTTCTTGTAACATTCACATAAACCAGTATTTTGAATCAGCATCACAGTGCATGAGCATGTTACAATGATATCCAGCTACATAAAATAATGAAATTGTAGTGTGGGTTAACAAAATTCTACATCAATGAGTGGTCAAACCACTGCTCCTGTACAACAAGAGTGCTTTGTACTAACAAAGCTTTCTGTGCTTCAAATTTACTGGAATAGGGACAACAAAGGGAAAACAAACAAAAGGATCAATGAATGTATATGTTTCTTTTTACCTTGAAATAAAGCTGGATGTGTGGCTGCAATTCAAATGTATACTATGGATTAATATACATAAAAACATACAAAATAAATGCATGTTTTATCAGTTCCTTTTATAAATTATGGTATTCTTGTAAGTCAAAGTGGTATTAATCTAGTATAATTAATTCAAATTATTCGTAAACATATCAGTGTTCCTGGGTCTCCCTCCAATGGGGAAAGATGTGTAGGTGTTCCAACTGAGTAAACTATTCCACATTCTAGGATTCATCTCAGTTTAGAGTATGATACTTACTCTGGGGTGTTGACTGTCGCTGAGGAGTGGTGGCAGCTGGAGGACGCACAGGAGTTGATACGATGGGTGCAGGAGGGTTAGGGTTTTGAGTCCCAGCAGCCATGGCAGTAGATGTTGTGTTAGTGGTTGTTGTGGAACCTGCTTGTGTTCCAGACACGGTCTCAACCACACGCATTAGGATGCAAGCCTTTGGCCCATAGCTTTGTGCCTAGCAAATCAAAAGCAGTGTACAATATAGTTCACTGGGCTGTCACTGAATGGGCTTACAAGTTTATATATAAACTTTCCACAATTACATTATATGCCTTTGATATTATGAGACTGTAAAAGATACAAAGAATAATTAAACACTTATCTTGAGATAAAATAAATTACAAACTGTGTAAGGAGATCACAGAAGTCTTAAAAACTCTTATTGTATTTAAAAAAGTAAATTTCGTTAAAATATATAGGTTATTTCTAAGTCATTCAGGGTATTTACCTCAACTGTGATGAGTGATACCAGTGTATCAATGGCACCATGTACCCGCACGATACAATTGCAGGCACGCTCACCCAGCGACGAGAGTGAGTACAGGCACTCGAGAGTGTAGATGAGAAGCATGATGTCGTGAAGTGTGAGGAACGTGCACACCTGGTCATAGACATGTTGGTCTAGGTACCGCAACATTATATCCTCATTCTCATCCTTCTGACTCAACTTATTAAGCACCTCAAGGCACGACAGGATGACAAGCCGATCCTGGGAGTGCAGGCCACGAGACACTGAGCTCAGCATACACGCGGCCAGACGATCTGTGCCGGGATCCTCCATCAACACCTCGTGGGCAACATTGCCTAGCATGTCCAGTCCCAGCTGGTGTAGAGAATTCCATCGTGAGCCAGCACACAGCAGCAAGAAACGCAGAAATGGCCCGCTGCGAGCCAAAGTGACCACATTCTCCTCTCCAAAACTTAAGTTGCGAAGGATTGTCGCCACTTGAAGCACTCTCTGACCGACATAATCTTGCGTCCCAAACGATCTTCCCAAACAGAATAATTCCAAATCTGAGGGCTCTATCTTCAATGGAACCTTGAGCCTGCTCTCAGACATTTTATCATTTGCATCCACGTCAGCCAAAAGTCCATCTTCTCCCTCTTCGTAGAACTCGTGCCTTGACGTTTCAGTCCCCTCCACAGATTCTTCAGCGCACACATCGTCGAACAAATCTGAAACATCTACCTCCATGCTTGTAGCACTGTCCACCATTCCCTCTCTCTCCCCATCAACTATGCCAGGCAAGAGTTCCATGTCCATCTTCTCCATAATATCACTATAACTACCAGTTTTAATTTCAAGTCCATCGCTGCACCTACTACTACTTCGTGATGGTCTGTCACTGATAGAGTTGGCAGCAGCCAATCCCGCGTTACCATCAGCTTCACATACCACTTCCTTCACCTTGGGTTTTTTTGTGGGGAACAGAGTTTCATCTGCCAAGTCACACAGGTCTAAATCTGCCAGCGCATCTGGCCAAAAATGTTTCAGAGAGTGTTTCCGCAGATTCCTGTATACCTCTTCAAATAAGTCTCGCGTTGATGCTGCAGAAGAGAGAGACACTAAAATACCATTCAAAACTTAGAGTAGTAATGTGTCAAATATATCCATTATTACGGCACAATGGCTACAAGGTCGGCTGACTGAATTTACAGGAACGTATGTAAAAATCTGATGATCTTAGAAATGTTTCCATCCTATTCTCTGCCTCGCCCAATGATCATGATGTAAACAAAGAGACGAGGGAATCACCTTCCACCCACCGCACATGTGAAGGGAGATCCGTGTGCATACGTCAACCTGGTGCACATTCACAATAGTATGAAATACGAAAATAACTATCCTAGAGAAAACAGTCATCTGATCATACACGTTTGTGTTTTATGAATAACACATTGCAGTTTCCACGGCTATTTCATGATAATGACTTCCAAAATATGTTTTAAAAACTAACTTTTTATCTAAGATTTGAGGTTTTCACAGCGGTGAGTATGAAGATTTCTGTCTTCTGGGTAGTTGCGCTGTGTAGACTGGTCAATGTTAACCAACGTTTCGGAGGTCATACTGCCTCCGTCATCGGGGCGATGAATCATCGACCAGACTACACAGCGCAACTACCCAGAAGACAGAAATCTAGCTTTTTATCTTCACAATTATAACAAAATATTATAAATGTTTCACTAATGCTAATACAGTACTTCGGCTTTCCTCTGGAGGATATATTCAAAGCATGATTGTACAGCCACCAACAAATCACACGAATACAGAGCTATTAAAGCAACAAAGCACTCAGATTCTTAAAATGCCTAATGCAGAAGAGAGTTTTCCACGTAAAATGCAACCCAAATTACAACACATGAACTACCATTAAGCTGTAAAACCTCGAAACAACCTGAAAAACAGTTTTTTAAAAGAATCTGTATCCTGTGATTTATTAAAGACCCACAACTTAAATGAATGACTCTTTTTTTAGGACTGCTATACGTCCATATCTCATACCTACTATTCCACACGTGTAACAGATTGTTACTCACAATGGTTGAAGACGCCAGCATGAGCCAGTAAGAAATCAATGAGACGTGGGTACTTGTCCAATTTAAGGGTGTGTTTGCCCTCATTGGACAAAAGTGTACACACATTGAGTGCAAAATCCTGCTCATTTGGTAGTGGTGACACCAGAGACAGTGCCAAGCGATCATAATCCGATGCTCTATACAGGTCTGCTGACAGCCCATTGTATGAACGGAGAGCATCTGGAAAAAATAATTTCTTGGATTAGAAAATGTCTAAGGAACACACATTTCATTTAAAGTTAACATCATTCCTTTATGAGATCTGAGGTTCTTAATGCAGCACAGATGTCAATGGTGGTCTTCTGCCTGAAGCCTTGAAAATGGAGGCAGTATGTGCCACAACCTAGAAGACCAACAGTGACATCTTCACCGTCGTAAGTCATCTCAAGATTTCCAATTACTTCTGTATACAAACTCGCATCCCTTCGGGAATGTCTTAAACCAGTAGGTGGCACCGCTGACGTAATCTCGTTTTCCTTCAACGAGTCGCTGTCTCAGTGCGTGCCACATTCGCGCCAATTGTCCACGTGGGGCAAGGAAGTCAACACTGAGATACGCCGTCCGGCACACAGATGAACTACATTGAGGAGGGGGGGGGGAGGGGTGGAGTCTGGGAACCTTGGCCGTAGCAGAGGGTCGAGGACCAACCAGTAGACGTCGCATCATGCGATATATACCACCGGAAACAGAGGGTCTACACAGGAAATATCGAACGCGGACGACACTACACCGAAATTGACCAGACCCGTGGTTATCTTTTCGTGCCTACATTTTAAGTATGTAGTACAGCTTGGTGGTATCAAATTTTAACGCGGAGCGTGTGTGAACTCATTTTAAAATGGCTTGCAACATAGGATTTATGAAACTCGAAGATTCATTACCGTGTTCAATAAATTCTACCCCCTGGTCCCTTTCCCTGAGCCACGTGGATCCTGTCACCCTCACCCACCTCCTTAAAATGCGTTTTAAAAAGTACGATCATATCCCAAACTGTTTTAACTATCGATAAATACCATGAAGACATTTATATCAGTTTTCGGAAACTGTATCAGCGCCACAGCTCAGATGGCTAGGCCATTGTTTCTCACCAAAAATACCCGGATTCAATCCCTGGCGATTTAAAGTGAGATTCGTGGCAGACAAACAGTGTTTTTCCGTTTCTCCCGCTAATGATCATTCATCTATCACCGCCCCCATGAGACGTGTGACAGGCCTGACCAAGCAGTGCATTTGCATACCCTCCGTCTTCAGCTGGCCTCAGGGTAAATGTAAGTTCCTTTGTAACATTCAGCCCGACGCAATCCGACGGACTAGACTGTACTCAGCCATCCTTCAGTAAGAAAAACAAAAGACTGTTGACCACAAGCTTGAAATTGTAATTACTGATAACCAACGTCGGCTACTGCCAGTCGAGGTTTGTTGTGTATTTTATCTGAGCTTATCGGCATCTACACACACACAAGGAAGCAACGAAAACACAAGACTTAATGATAATCTTATGGTTTGTTACGTCATTTAATATTTACACACAAACAAATACAGACCGGATGTGACTATAATTACTGAGAAACGAACAAAGGTCGTTTGGAATCAAAATTAATGACAAAACACATTTGCTTGCAGACTTACGACACGAACTCGGCTTTCGAAGTTTTACTATGACGTTTTATTCATGTAAATTTATGTCACTATGAACTACAAACTCTTGTATGCATTTGGTCTATCTAACAACGTTGTCAGCAGCTCTGACTGAATGAATAATGACCTGGAAAGGATATGGAAGGAAGCGATCGTATTTTAATTCAAAGGTGCCAGCATTTACCTCCTCTTAATTAATTTAATTTTAATATCGTAACACGCAAATCCATCTTTACGTGGTGACCTACAAAGTCAGTATTATCAACTAGGGGTCCTTATGCCTAAGGAACCCGCGAGTCGAGCAGATTCTGCGGTGTACCAGGATAATGCAGTTCCTCCTCATGTTTTGTGTGTATACTCAAGGTGACAAATGGATCTGACGATACCAAATGAACCATTTTAACGCAGGTCAAACGGCGAAGCCTAATACATCAACTCCTTAAACATTAGTAATAAGAAATGGCACACCTCGGCCCATGAACCTCTGAATGAAACCGGGGGATCAATGAGTGTGAGGCGTCAGGAACACACACACACACACACATACACATACGACGAGAGGGGGGAGACGTCCGTGACGTCATAACCTCTTCTGGCTTGCCTTGCTAGACTAGAGATTGCGTAAATGTTTCATGCATGCGTTCAGTCACACCTGTTCAAATGGTCTACGTTGACCCCGACCCGGAAGTCAAAGTACGGATAAACGCCGATCTCAGGACTCGCTCCGGAATGTCGGCACATCGAATTATCCTTGTCCTTCTTCGGTAAGTAAAGTAAAGTTTGTCCCACTATACGCCATGTAGGCACTTGGGGGGAGTGGGTGTATAGCTCCTCTCTTCCTTGACCTCGGCACTAGATGGGGGTGAGTGGTCAGCATCACGCCCCGGCCGGCTTTACCCCCGGGAAAGGACCCCGGTACCCATTGTAGAGGAGGCTGGGTGGGCCCCAGAGCCGGTCTGGACGCAGAGG